GAAAACAAACCCGTTTTCCTGACACTTTGTCATCCCTGGGGGACCCTCACCCACAGGGTCCCCCTTCCGTGGCGCTGAAGGGGTTAAAACCCCTTCAGTAGCTTACCTAATCCAGTTTCTATGAAACTGCTATGTTTACATGTGAATAGTTAAAACCTTAGGGACCTGGTACCCAGACCACTTCATTGAGCTGAAGTGGTCTGGGTGACTATAGTGTCCCTTTAATTGGATTCTACGAAGAACTAACTAGAAGTATAGATTAGGGTGTTGCCTTTGCCAAGGCATTTGATAAGGTTGCACACAATACAAGAAATTGGTCTAGATGAAAATTCTTGCAGATAATTTGTGATTGGATGACTCGAGACAAGGTGCTACAGCAGTTAAAGAAAACTAATGTAAATAAAGCTCCGGGGCCTGATGGTTAGTGATGTCATAGCGTGCTCGCGTTCGCCACGGATGGCGAACATATGCGATGTTCGGTCCACCCCCTATTAATTTACTAATACTAAGTAATACTAATTTACTAATACTAAGTAAAAATTACTTAGTATTAGTAAATTGTGCCCCTACTCGCAATACCGCGAGTAGGGGCATGTCTATTAAACAGTGAGCAGCCTGTGGCTGCTCACTGTTTAAAAAAAAGGGTCCCCCCCCGGTGGGGGCCCTAAATACTAATAGGGGGGGACCTATTATTTAGAGGTGGGGACACTAACTGATAAACAGGAGTTTTTGGGCCCTGCGTGGGGCCATTGTCGTGGGGGGTTGCTGCCTGGGAAGGACGGGCCTGTGACGGCTCGGGGACCTACTGTCCCACCCCCTCGGACCCCTACCCTGGTGGTGGGGGCCATAAAGATAATGAAGGGGGGACCTACTGTCCTCCCCCGGCTCCCACCCCTGGGCTACAGTTGGGGGCCCCTAAATGTCCCAGGTGACCCAAGCCCCTAGTCACCCACCCCCCCCAAATAAAAAGTCCCTACCTACTCCCCTCACCCTAAAAAATAGTGAGGGGGGAATAAAATAACTAACCTGTAAAATAAAATGAAACTTACTATTCAACGTCTTCTTTTTTCTCAAATCTTCATTTTTCAGCCCCAAAAAAGGCCAAATAAAAAACCATCATAACCGTCGAACAAAAAAACAAAAAAAATCTAGAGCGCAAAAAAAAAACCTGACGAAAAAGAAAAAACCAGAGTGCAAAAAAATAATCCATCTTCACCCATGGAGGGCTCCGCGCAGACTGAGCTCCGCAGGGCGGGGGAAGGCTTATAAAGCCTTGCCCCGCCCTGCAATTAGGCTAAGAACACTCTACTGACTCTATCACTACTGACAGTGTTCACCGACGAGTATGTAAGGAGCTAAGTAGGGAAATAAGTGAACCTCTGTATTTAATCTTTCAAGATTCTTTTCTTTCAGGTATTGTAACGGAGGATTGGAGGAAGGCAGCTGTCGTTCCTATATTTAAAATGGATCTAAAATCCTTGCCTGGAAATTATAAAGCTGTGAGCTTAACTTCTGTGACTGGGAAAATATTTGAATGGCTATTTAGGGATAATATTCAGATATTCATTGTGAAGAACTTTGTTATTAGCAATAATCAGCATGGTTTTCTGAAACATAGGTCATATCAAACTAAACTAATTGCATTCTACAAAGAATTAGAAGTATAGATCAGGGTGTTGAAGTGGATGTAATCATGGGCGTCCGCAGGAATTTTTCCAGGGGGGGGCATAATTGTAATGACATCCATGCTTGGTACCTTTTTAACAGTGTCATGAAAGGGAAGGGGCATAGCCATTATCACATAAAGCCAGGGTGAATAGCGTTTTCACAACTATGGTGTCAGGAATATATGTTTGTATTCCTGACACTATAGTGTTCCTTTAAGCAAATTAAAGGACATTTCTGGTAACCATAACAACTTCACCTAAATGAAAATGCTATGATGCCAGGAAGCCCCTGGGTGCTCGCTTTCCTTTAAAGGGTTAAATCGCTCTCAAATGGTTTAACCCCAAAGGCTTCCTCCAGCTCCAGGTCGCTCAGTGGTATTTGGCTTCTGAAACAGAGTGTCAGGAAGTGCAGATTGGCGTCAGGCATGGGTGCCGCTGATTGGCTAGAGTGGTCAGTTGACGCTCTAAGCCAATCGCTAGTTCCCGGTTCATAAAATATTTTTACTTTTTTATGAATGGGGAGCTACTGATTGGCTTAGAGTGCCAGCTGATCGCTCTAGCCAATCAGCAACACTCCTACCCAACGGCACTCTGTGCTTCCTGACACTCAGTAAATAAAAGTGAACACATTAATACTGATATTTTTTACCTTTGGAGATGAGAAGGTCCAGCGTTTCCCTGCCAGGCCCAGGTACCAAAGCCTTATGATGTGGTGTCCAGAATAAAGTGGAGGGTTCACTTAATTTGTCCTTCCTGCTCCAATCTCTTTTTCCTCTCCTTCATTTGACAGTCTTTTTTTTTCTTCTGACACTGTTTTCTATCCTTGGCCCCTTCTGCTCTTTTACCTTTCTGCTACTTTCTGCTTATTTTGTGCCCTTCTGCTCCTTTCTCATTCTGATCCCTTTCTGCTCCTTGCAGACCCTTTCTGCTCCTTTTTCTACTTTACCTTTGTGCTCCTTGCTGTCCCTTTCTGCTCCCGTTTCTACTTTACCTTTGTGCTCCTTGCTGTCCCTTTCTGCTCTTTCTCCTACTTTACCTTTGTGCTCCTTCTGATTCTTTCTGCTCCTTTACCTTTGTGTTCCTTGCTGTCCCTTTCTGCTCCTTGCTGCCCCTTCCTGCTCATTCTCCTACTTTACCTTTGTGCTCATTTCTGACCCTTTCTGCTCCTTCTACTTTACCTTTGTGCTGCTTTACCTTCCAGCTCCTTCCTGTTCATTTCTGTTCCTTTGTGCTCCTTCTCCTACTTTACCTTTTGTGCTCCTTGCTGTTCCTTCCAGCTCCTTGCTGTCCTTTTCTGCTCCTTGATGTCCCTTCCTGCTCATTTCTGTTCCTTCTCCTTTTCTTACCTTACCTTCCTGCTCCTTGCTGACTCTGCATGTAGGCTGTCTCCCCCATCCCTCACTTCTATAGGGGTGCGCACGGGGTGTGTTGGGTGTGCCTGGGCACACCCTAATCCCCGTGGCATGCCAATGGATTGAGACCGGCAGGGGAGATCTCTGGATCTCCCCGGCCGGCTCATGCAGAGCTAACGCTATCCGAGCAGCGGCTCTGGTCTAAGCCTCCATGGGCCAGTGGGGAGATCAAAGTTCTACCTCACCGGTCCACAGCAGCATGGAGGGAGGCAACAGAGAACCCGGGCTAGAGTTCACTCTCCACTGAACCACCAGGGAAGGCAGCAGGACTGGGATATTAACTAGTCTGCCCCCACCTCCGCCCAAACATACAGCACACACACATACAGCACACACAGCCCACAAACAGCACCCACACACACACACAGCACCTACACACATACATCACCCTCGCACACACAGCACCCACACACACACAGCACCCACACACACACAACACCCACACACACCCAGCACACTAACAGCATCCTCACAAACACACAAAACCCACACAGCACCCACACACAAACAGCACACTCTCATACAAACAGCACCCTGACAAACACACAACACCCGCACACAAACAGCACACTAACAGGACCCGAACAAACACGCACACACAAACACCCTCTCTCTCACACACACACACACACACACACAGCACACTACCAGTTCCCTCACAAACAGCACCCTCACACACAGCACACTAACAGCACCCTCACACACACACACAGCAGTGTGTGTATACATATATATATATATATATAACAGATATAGAGATTATATATATATAAATATATATATACATACATATACACACACACACACACATACATATACACATGGCGTGTGTTTGTGCTTTAGGGTGCACACCCTAATGCAATAGGCTGCGCACGCCTATGCTCACTTCCCTAATCTATAGGCTGCCCCCCCATGCCTCACTCCCCTAATCTATGGGCTGCTGCCCCCCCAGCCTCATTCCCCTAAGATATAGGATGCCCCCCTCACTCTCCTAATCTATAGACTGCTGCTCCCCCAGCCTCACTCCCCTAATCTATAGACTGCTGCTCCACCAGCCTCACTCCCCTAATCTATAGACTGCTGCTCCCCCAGCCTCACTCCCCTACTCTATAGGATGCTGTCCCCCCTTACTCCCCTAATCTATAGGCTGCTGCCCCCCCTTACTCCCCTAATCTATAGGATTCCCCCACCTCACTCCCTAATCTATAGGCTGCTGCCCCACCAAAAAAATCTATAGGCTATCTCAAATCCTCCCCCTATCCCTCACGTACCTGGTTTGTAGGCTGTCTGGCTGCATGTGTTGTTCCCCTGCGGTTTCAATCAGCAGAGAGAAGCAGGGATCCCTATCCCTGTCTCTCTCCATACACAGCCGGTATTGCAGTTCATTTTAAATTTCACACGAAAAATATCAGAACAAGCTGAAAAATCCAGGGGGGGGCAAGTGCCCCCTCTTGCCCCCCCCTGCGGACGCCCATGGTCCCAGGCCAGTATATGTTACAATCCTTTTAGCTTCCCCTATCAGCTCAGAGAGAACTGAATTAAATTGGCAGCAGTTCTCTTCTCTTGGGAGTGCACCTCCAACTAATCTCCGGCAGACTGGGACATGTGTATCCTAGTTCTGCCTGAGTTTAGGGCATGGGGAATAAGTCATATTTCTATCAGTATGAGATTCTGCACATTTAAATATTATATATTATTATTATTGGTTTTGTTTATTATTATTGTAGCTTCATGACCTCAGTGAATTTTGAAATATGTTATGGACAACAGTAAAAGTTCCTCTGAATCTCCTTTTAGTTCCAAATTTTAAACAAAGATGCTTACTGTTTCTGCAACCAAGCCACTATTGGTGGAAATCTATGTTTTAGTCAAAAGGTTACTTATGGTTTTCTATTTGATCATTCAGTGTTTGGGAGATCATCGGACAATCAGATGGGGGTCTGTCTGTACTCAGAACATTTAGACTGCTACGTGTTCTGAAACTGGTCCGCTTCATGCCAGCTCTACGTCGTCAATTGGTAGTCCTTATGAAGACCATGGACAACGTGGCCACCTTCTGCATGCTTCTCATGTTGTTCATCTTTATCTTCAGGTACAGAGAAAATCTATGTCAGAGTTCCACTAATGGACCTGAGGTCACCTGGGTGGCCGTCGTTAATAGCGCTAACCCTGCTTCTTTTCAGTAAATGTTTTGTGTTTGTGTAATCTTTTACAGCTGAGAATCAAATCTGTGTCCCACACTTTGATAACTAGCAGCATTATTCACTAAAGTGAGAATTCAAAACGAATTTCAGATTTAAGGCCAAATTAGCTAAACTGGAAAAAATCTCTAAATCAGCAATACTTCCTGTTGGGGCTACTTTGGCCTGGCATCTAAAAATCCCATCCTGCAACTTTAACATGTGCAACATCTTCCTTTTTATTTTGATTGACTAAATCCTGGGCAGAAATAACTACATCCCTTCATTTTATAAACTGTTCATTTTTTTCAGGCCAGATTAATTCTAGCCTGCAGTTATGTGATACATGGAGAGAGAGCAGTGATACACTGAATGCAACTGTTGCTGTAGCAGCAAAAAAGTCCGCTTTGTATGTTTAAAAAGAATGACAGATATGCATAATTCATTTTTGCCGAAAGAAGATTAAAATGAATATTTACTAAAATCTGGTTATATTCCTTTAGAGTTTTTTGTTTCTTTAAAAAAATTGCCCTGTTTTAAAGTTAATGTTGCAAATTTGTATGGGGAACTTTTAAAATCATGTTTCCAGATAATGTCGGTAGACTGGTTTCAGGTGCCTAAAAGTCATTTGTTTACTTTAGCAATGTGACATTTTTTTACACCAGGCTTCCCCAAACTCCGGCCCTCCAGATGTTGCTGAACTACAACTCCCATGATTCTATGAATGAAATAGATAGACCGAGAATCATGGGAGTTGTAGTTCAGCAACATCTGGAGGGCCGGAATTTGGGGAAGCCTGTTTTACACCCTTTCCCTAGAATTTTGTCTCATTGTGGAAAATAAAAGACATCATATGGTTTAATGTATATAGGATATAGGTTCTACAGTAGGAAGAAAAAACAAAACATCATAGTGTACTATCTTATTTATTTATTTATTTATTTATTTATTATTGCCATTTATATAGCGCCAACAGATTCCGTAGCGCTTTACAATATTTTGAGGGGATGTAACAATAAATAGGACAATTACAAGAAAACTTACAGGAACAATAGGTTGAAGAGGACCCTGCTCAAACGAGCTTACAGACTATAGGAGGTGGGGTATTAGAAACATTAGGACATGGAATATGGAATAGTGGTGTTCAAAGTTGCACTCACAATAAGGAGATTGATTGAAGGCACATCAATATTAAGGTTGACTAGCGATCTTCCCCACGTATATAAGGGTATATAGGAGAGAAAGAAATGTAGTAATAAATGCAGACTGTTATTCACCTGGTGAAGCACTAGATAAGGGAACACTTACAGAATTGCAGAGGTGTATAAGCATATCATATCACAGGTGCCCAGGAATCCGGAGAGAGTCCGCCAAAGCATTCAAGTACAGATAAGCAAAAAACCTATTGACTTGTAAGATTTATTAAGTATAACAATTTAAAACAAAACATAAATAAAAACACAATCAAAATAAAACTCTCCTATAAAATCCCAACCCTACGCGTTTCGTCTGGCACAATGCAGACTTCCACAGGAGACTGATCTTCATTTCATTTTACCCCTGAGGAAGTCTGCATTGTGCCAGACGAAACGCGTAGGGTTGGGATTTTATACGTGGGGAAGATCGCTAGTCAACCTTAATATTGATGTGCCTTCAATCAATCTTCTTATTGCGAGTGCAACTTTGAACACCACTATCAATATTTATTTAAGATAGTACACTATGATGTTTTGTTTTTTCTTCCTACTGTAGAACCTATATCCTATATATGTTTTGAGAGGACTGGAAGGAGTCCCTTTTTGTTCTGATTCTACAGGGTGAGGTATAAATTTGTATAGGTGAAGTGTGTTGTGTTTCACCTCCTCACTTTATGTCTTTCCACCTGTGATTGTTAAGGGTGTTTTTTTTATTGTATCATATGGTTTAATGCTGAAATTTTTTTTCATTATGGTAACGTTTTTACAAACTCTGGGTTACATAAAGGGTTGGAAGTAATTATGGGTTTTCTATTCTATCCATAATACATGTTTTCGATTCCCCTTTCAGCATTCTTGGCATGCATCTTTTTGGTTGTAAGTTTACCGTGAAGACCGACACCGGGGATACAATCACCGACAGAAAAAACTTTGATTCTTTACTTTGGGCCATTGTAACTGTTTTCCAGGTAAGATGGGAAGATCAACTCTTTGTGGAATTTGGGGAACTGTGAATCCAAAAATTGGTGGCATGGTTTTTGGTATAGAATAAAATTTTTCCTTCGTAATATTCATGATAGTGTGGTCATAATTTCAGCTTAAAGGGACACTATAGTCACCCAGACTACTTCATCACGATGAAGTGGTCTGGATGCAGTGTCACTGTCCTTTTAACCCTGCAATGTAAAACATGGCAATTTTTTGCAGAGCTAAGTCCACTTTCAGAGTAAAACGTGGTCATGTAATGTGGAAACACCATAGAAAAAACTTGATTCTATGTATTCCTATGGGGAAGTTTGAATCCACAAGGCAATCTTTAAACATGCGCATTAGGTTTCCAATGTTTATCTATAATGCTCTTCTGTGACTACGTAGCAGGCAGAGAGGTTAGCAGTGCCAAGAGAGCCTTGGTGCTGGGAATAAGTATGTTATACACATTCTTTTTCAAATTTTAATGCAGGGGGAAAAAGAGTAAGGGCAGGGACACTATAGCCTCAAGAAAACAGATTTGTATTCCTAACGCTATAGTGTTTCTTTAATCATTAACTCATAGGGTTGTTTGATCAACTGGGAATTCAAAGTGATTTCAAATGGAATTTCAAATTTAGGGGCAAATTAACTTAACTGGAAAATCCATCTATGCTTTTAGTTGTATAACACCAAAACAGGACACATTATTAAAAAATCATCAGAGAATTAGGTTTTATGAAAATAACATCTCTCCACATGTACTTGAATGCTGTAAACTGACATTGTCATCCATGCATAAAAGCCACTTAAAAATAAATACATCGATTGCATAATTTTCATCGGGACAAATTAACAAGATTTCTATCACAAATCGAAATCGGCTTGTGTTAAAGGATTAAATATAATCTCTAGTCGGAAATGCATCCAAAACGCAATTCTAAACCCTCAAATCTTAATTAATGTTTTGTGGTTTTCAATTGTGTTTTGTCTGAAGCCCCCATTATGAAGCAATCAGAAATTATAATGCTTTACTTTTTCAACCTTAGCTTTCTGATGGATCCGCATGAGTTCCCATTTACAGCCCGATTTTATAATCCACTGAAAATCCTTAAACTTGCCTGCTGACTGTTAGAGGAATATTGCATAGCATCCACACTAGGACTATGTTGTTTTCAACCGTGTTGAAATGATTGCTAAAATGCTATCGATCAGTTCGCATGATGCAAAAGATCATTTACAGAAAATTACACCCAGATATTGGCTATTTGTAGAGTTTAGTAATTTACTTGGAAGAAATATATTTTAGAAAAAAAACAAAAACCCTGTACATTCAGCAAATATTGCGACAGATTTCTGTGGTCACACTATTGCTTTAAAATGTTAGTTCATCAATGTTACAAATTTTATCATTTGGAGATATTAGATACGACGGTCACTGAGCTACTTCTTTGGGTTGCCGACTTCAGTATTTTTTAATGGAAGGACAGGTATCTAGAATAGCCGTAAGGCATTCGAGAAGAGTGGCTTAAATGCTGGGAGCAAGTAACTGAGTACAACTCTCTGTGACTTCCAGGGGGTATCATTCTGTCTTTAACATTGAAATTCACTTTGAAATTGCTTTGAATTCTTTAGTTACTAACTCAATAAGTGAAAATTGTAACTAGTAACTAATAATAAGGGTAAAAAGGGACACTACACTACCATTGAAACCATGACAGCTAATAAGTAGGAAATGACATGTGTACGACCATTTTAATCCCAGTGGGGGCCTATCTCTTTCTATGTTTTTGTGGGGATTAGATGATTGAAAAGTACACCACGCCAAACATGTTTAAGGATCAAAAGCCATTTTATAACTTCATATCTGTCTGTCTGTGTACTTATGTATTATGCCTCAATCACGCAGAGCGTCCATAGGAAAGCATTGAAAAATGTTTTCCTACGGACACTTTGAATGCACGCGCATTCGGCGCCGGCGACGTCAGTCAAAGATGCTTACGTCGGCGGGGGAGGAAAGGTAAGGGAGCCTGGCGGGGGAAAAGGGTGAGTAGCTGAAGGGGTTTTAAGGGGTTTTAACCCCTTCAGCACCGCGGGAGGGGGACCCTGAGGGTGGGGGCACCCTCGGGGTACTATAGTTGTCCCTTTAAACTGCAGTCTTCAAATTAAATACATTGTTACCATTTATACCATAGTTTGCCACTGTAATTCTCTGTGCATGCAGTTTGTATCATTTAATGTTTCTAACCAATATTACATGTACACAGTTATTAATATTCTGGTTGATAGAATTTAGTACAACACATGGCTACTCTACCTTCTCTCCGCCTCCTGACCCAAGCAAACATACACTGACTCAAGCAGACACAGACACTGACTCAGACACACACAAACACACTGACCAAAGCAGACACACAGACACACACACTGATCCAAACACACGCACACACTGATGTAGACACACACACCGATCCATGCACACACACTGATTCAAGTAGATACACACACTGACTCAAGCAGACACACACACACTGATTCAAGCAGACACACACACATTAACTCAAGCAGACACACACACTGACCCAAGCACACACACACACACTGACCTAAGCACACACACTGATCAAAGCAGACACACACACACACACTGACTCAAGCAGACACACACACTCACTAACTCAAGTAGACACACACATACTGACTGAAGCAGGCTAACACACACTATTAAGTTCCCCTCTTGCCTTAATTTCACATTGTCTCTCTGTAGGTCACAGGCTTTTGGATTGCGCCTGGCTGACTTGAGTCTCTCTCAGTCCCGCCCTCGCTATCCTCCCGCCCACTTGACCCTGAGTACAAGGAAAGGGGTGGAAGCGATCGCAATATGTACCCGTCCACTGCCGGCATATTAGGATGGGTTGGGGGGCGGCTCTCTGTAATTTTTGCGTGTGAAGGTTGATGGCACCAGGTACTAGTCTGCAGCTATGTAAGTGCTCCCTAGCGCCGGTGCCATCAACCAGCGGCACACAATATACATAATAAGTAAAGCTGCTGCCGGTGCTCCCCTTAAGCAGCAGCCTATGTGGCTGCCTAATCAGCCTAAAGAACGAGCCGGCCCTGCACTCGCAGAAACTACAACAATAGTAAAGCTCTGAATTTTTCCTCAGAACTGCCCACCCAGGTTCCGCCTAAATATACAGCATGCTCCTCCAGCTGTTAGAGATTCTCATTCAATTACCTCTTCATTCCCTTTACAATTTACCAATAGCTGCTTCTCTCTGTTAACTGCTTTAGCCATCACCTCCAAACTTCCCCTGCTACCTGTTTCCCCTGCTACGTCTCAAATCCCCACTATATCCATTTGATTGTAAGTTCACGGGCTATCTAGAGCTTAAATGTCTAGATCTCAGCTTACGGGCATTTTGTATTTGTCTGTGTATATTGTACGTCCTCCACTAATTGTACAGCGCTACGGAATCTGTTGGCGCTTTTAAAATACCATTAATTAATAAATAAATATCTCAATGTTTATTTAGGCCTTTTTGTCTTTCTTTATCTATATCTGATTGTGTCGATCTATATATCTATACTGGTCTTTCTGTCTTTATATATCTATGTATTTCTAACTCTATATCTATCTATATTGGTAGTTCTGTCTTTATATATCTATATCTGTCTGTATCTATCTCTATCTATCTATATATACATTCTATCTGTCTGTCTGTCTATCTAGCTATCTATCTATCTATCTATCTATCTCTGTGTCTGTCTTTCTATCCATCTTGCTATCTATCCAGGGCCGGACTGGGGAAAAAATTCGTCCCGGGCATTTTTCAATCAGAGCGGCCCCCTGAGAAGTGGGCGGGGCCAGAGAGGGTGTGTTTTGTCATCACTAAGGACAAGCCTGCCCCCTCTCAAAGTGAGCATGTTGGTTCAATGCCCAGAGCCCCGCTGAAGAGCTCTAACATTAGAAAAAGGCCCTGTATTTGTTCTGCGCAGCGCAAGCAAATTTAATAACATGCTTGCGCTGTGTTTGCTTTTAAATTGTCTCTGGTGTCTCCACAAGTGGGATACCAGAGGATAAAAGGGCCAGGAAAGTGTATGGTGCATGTGTTTGGAGCCTGCTTGTGGGATTGCGTGTGTGTAAAGTGTGGTGTGGTATTGTGTAAACAGGTCAATTTCATTTGTGTTTGTGGTGTAATAAGTGTGGCTAGGGGCTGTAGAGAGTGTGTGTATAGGGGGCATAGTGTTATAGGGGATGTAGCGAGTGTGTGCATACGGGCTGTAGTGTGTGTGTGTGTGTGTGTGTGTGTGTATAGGTGACGTAGTGTGTGTAGGGGTTGTAGAGAGTGTGTGTTTAGAGAATGTTATATCCCCCCCTCCCTTCTTACCTTTAGCCTGGAGGGTAGGGTGGGCCATGCTGCCATGGAAGGGGGACCGTGCTGCCTGGTGGTCTTAGTGGAACCCGGGGGAGCTGCTGGCTAGAGCTCCTTGTGTTCTCTCCTGCCTCACTCCCTCTTTCTCCAGCCAGCGGTCACATATCAGTGCCTGTGGGCCGGTGAGGGAGATCTTTGATCTCCCCACCGGCCCATGAAGGCACACAGCAGGGCCGGCGCTCAGATAGTGCTGGCTCTGCATGGGTTGACAGGGGAGATCCTGTGATCTCCCTTGCTGGCCTCGGCCCATGGCCATCGCGGCCCACCGGGCATTTGCCCGATATGCCCTGATGACCAGTCCGTGCCTGTATCTATCTATCTATCTATAGCTGTCTGTCTATCTATGTCTGTCTCGCTATCTGGGCCTGTCTGTCACTATCTCTGTATCACTGTTAACCCTTTCAAGCACACCCATTTTAACACAAGATGAAAAGATTTAATGATTATGTATGGAGTTATTCCTCATATGTTTAACTCTTTGTTAACCTTTGTCTTCCCTACACCAGATTCTCACCCAGGAAGATTGGAATATGGTCCTGTATAATGGCATGGCTTCTACGTCATCATGGGCGGCGCTTTACTTTGTGGCCTTGATGACGTTTGGGAATTACGTCCTGTTTAACCTATTAGTAGCCATTTTGGTGGAAGGTTTTCAAGCAGAGGTAAAGTGCCTCCATCTCTTCTAACACCCAAAGCTGTCCATTGCAAGGCTTAGTTAGCGATTACCTTTGAAATGCAGAACAGTGCTGTAAACATTTTGCAATTAGCTTCACACATACGGACGGCCTTTAGAAAATTCAGGCTAGTAGAAGCAGTTACTGGATCTACTTGATATCTGGTGTTAATATGTAAAGTAGGCCAATGTGAGCTTCTGTGTGCGTCCAGTGCTGTTGATTTCAGTGATTCCCTGTGCCCTCACTGCTGCATACATGACGATTTACAAAAAATATATAATATTTGTGTCACGATTCGGGGAACCCAACACGCTGGCACACACACACACACAGAAAAGGTGCCGTACCGGACCTTAGAGTGGCCGGGCTAAGCACACACAGAATAGTCAGGAAACAAGCCGAGTAAGGGGAACCAGAAGACAGAATAACGTGAAACGAGCCAAGGTCAAAGGGTAGGAGAAAGTCACAGAGTCAGATAAACAAGCCAGAGAGTACGTAACCAGAAGCACAAGGTAAGTAGCAATACTAGCAAGCAAAGACCACAACAGGGCAGGGAGGAACAGGAAAGGTAAGTATTTAAACCATAAGGTTAATTCTGATTGGATAATTTCCAATCAGAATTAACAATCACACGTGGGAGATATCTAGACCTCCCACTGTGATTGAGACACTGTGCCTTTAACGCCGGGTCAGGTGACTGACCCCGGCGTGTACTAACTTGGGCGGTCTCCCAGCGTGCAGCGTCATGTATGCTGCCGCTGGGGGACGTGGAGGAAACGGCGGGCGGCATCCGAGGCTGGAAGGATGCCGCTCGCCGAGCCCACGAGGAGGAGACCGCGGACGGCTGGAGGGTGAGTACCGCGAGCGGAGTGCAGCCTCCCCTCGCAGCCACCCGCGGGATACCGACAATTTGTACATGTAGAACTTTGCCAGGAGTTGAAGAAAGTTGCAGGATGACATAACAGACAGGTCCTAACTATGCCTGTTTACTTGCTTATTAGGGATGCAATTTGATCATCGTCAAACATTGGCAATTATTTCTAAGCCTAACCCTAACCCTACCTCTAACCCTAACACTAACCCTACACCTAATTCTAACATCAATCTTACTTCTAACCCTAACACCAATCATAACCCTACCTCTAACCCTGACACCAATTATAACCCTACCCCTAACACAAGCCATAACCACAGCAGCAACTTCTGTACCCTAACATTAAACCCTACCAGAAACACTTACCCTAGCCATAATGCTAACTCTAACTGTAGCTCACAAGGAGAGATGCACACAGCTCATTTGTCAGTCTGTGGTCACTGACTGAAGCCTCAGTTGACAGAGGGGAGCCTCAAGTATCAAATGGTACCTGGTGTCCCGGTTACCAACAGGAACCTAGCCCTGTTGGTATGTTAAAGGCATGAAGGTTTATGCCATCAATGGGTGTTAAAGCCCTGCACTGGATGCCAGCATAGACTGCCATGCAGTACTTAAGGGGTTAATGTTAAGAAGCTTGTGTATCTGTCACTCCAAGTGAGCCCCCATTACTGTGCCCACTCGTGAATTCACACATGTTATTGCTCACAGTGAAAAACCAAGACCTTGGTCAGTGCAGCCAGAGAACAGAATGCAGTCCTTACTGTAGAACAGTGTTTTGTAACCCTTCAATTTAGACACAAAATCAGGTCCCCGTGCCATTTAAGTGTGCCCCCATTGGTAGTAACAGGGGTATTACAAGGAGGTAACTGCATATCTCAGTGGTAACAGTAGAAGAGCTGTCTTTGTAAATGCAACGGAGACAACTTTGATATTGAGAGGAGTCAAATGATATTGTCTTACAGAAGTTATTTAATTAAATGTACAATATGGCACATTTTAGTCTCCATATATATATATATATATAATAATATATGATCAGTATTTAGACAAATACAGTATGTGTCCTTTTCACTGTAAAGACTGAGAGAACAGTCAGAGGTTATCCTGATTGCCGATGTCTATAAAAACTGCACTATTCAGAGTTGCGGTGACAAGATAAAATATCGTTAAATAAAGTCATGATAGATTTCCGTCCTTCTAATGCAGGAATCTATATTCACATGATATCAGCAGCCAGGCGTCTGGCACAGCAATGTCTGACTGCTCATAAAATTATGGTTTCTCAGATGAAGCATGAAGTGGATAATAAAATTTACTGCACTTCCAGGAAATCGCACCCCCTCCCAAAATGCTGAGTCTCCCCATTTTTTTTGTTCGCTGAGGGATTTGCCAGATAGTGAGATCAGCTATATAATAACCTTCAAAAACGTTAGAGGGGGAAAGGAATTTTTAATGCCTTAAGTATCTCATTACCATCCTTCGACTCTTCACGTAATTAAAGAAAACATATAATTTAGTCGTCAAAGTTATCGTCATTTTAAAAAAAAAGTTTTTACAAGATCATTAGTGAATACAAATTAACAAGAGAAAAATCCTGCTCGGCCCCATTAATTGCAATACACTTCAAGTGTTACCAGGCTTCAAATTAGTTTAAATGACTTTAACCTTAATGATATTCTATAGATTTTATAAAGTAATGGGGTGAAGTTTGAAATATGAGTCACTAAATCGGATGTTTCAAGAATCCATTAAGGAACGTCTGATACAATGTTATTTGGTTTTGCTTTTTTTTATAAAAGGGCATTCCAGTCTGGAGTTGACTCGTTCCTTTTTAACTATAGAAGGAATAGCGTGCTGTACTAGTTATGGTGCCAGAAGTGCCCTGGTACCTCCACAGTGTATGTTGTCAGACCTACATGCAAATGGTTTGATTTCTTTCTCCAGTTCCTCCAGGCACCGTTGCCTCCTGTCTACACTCAGAAATTCTCTGCCTTGAACTAAGCCTGCTATGCCGGCCTTAGCTCATTGGCTCAGAGCAGTCAGGTGACCACTCATTTAATGAGCTGGTCCTGCACAGTTGGGTTTAGCTCAGGAGAGCTAACTGATGCTTCATGCAGGACGTCCAGCTCTCCTTTCTGGCTCCAGGGGGACAGGGAGTGGTGCCTGCTGAACCCAGGGGAACGAAGTCAAACAGTTTGACTACATACACCGGGGATGTGCTAGGGCACTCCTGTCACTATGACCACTACAGTGGTTACAGTTCTACCTTTGGAGAACTTGCATTTGATAAAATTCTCTGAGATCCAACTGAGACCAGGGAGTAATTGAAAAGCTTTCATTCAGTGGAGAGTTGAGCATTTCCCGTATATATCTCATCGATATATGGATTCTGCTCTGGCAACAATGTAATATATGCAAAATACATGTGTGAGACCACAGATTTAGCTGGTAGAAACCTCTGTCAGGTTACTAAAAGTTTTATTTATGCCGTTTCATGAATGTAACTATAGAGACTATATTTATACCATATAAAAGCCCGTTAGAGGAAGTGGACATTTTCATGGCATCTGTCCATCCTGTGTGTATGTTCTATATATTTACATCTATGTCTATACATATATATAAGTGAGAGAGGGGAATTAGAACTGCAGCAATGGGATGAACTGCTTGAAGCAATGTTTTATAGTGCTTGTCACTGTAACAACTTTATAAACTTGAGCTTGCAATTTTGACAAGCGTCATGAACTCAACATTATAATGACATCAATAATAAGTCATAATTTTATCCACATAAAATGAGTGTAATTCTGACAAATTAGGGTTACAGTTAGAGGTTTTAGATCCTCATTATGACTCTGATTTATTTAATTTAAATTATCTAAATTATCGTGTAGTCATGATATCATCTTCATTTTTAGGTCTAAGCTATCAACAGTATTTTGTCTAATTCTTAGTGTGATGGACCGGATATCTACCTATAATATACAGGAGCGTATTCACTAACAGAAAATAATAGTGAATTGAAACCTAAATTAGGAAATATAGGCTATAATAGTTGATTTGGAAAAATTATCCAACTAGAGTCACAACATACAGCTTACAAGAGCTGTAGTTCTCTTGTCTGCAGCCTTTGCAAACCCTCCCAATCCAATCCCGCCCAGACTTTCTGTGGCTGTCCAATCACAGACTTCCCAATGCAGCTCAGTGAGTAGTCTTTGCAAGGCAGGTGCTCTGGCAATTGCTGAGTTTAGCTGAGCTTAGCAAACCAGGAAGTAACAGGACCAGCTGTCTGCTTGAATGCCGGGGGTGTAACAAGGTTACTTTATAAAAGCGCACATTTCTCCTAAAATCGGCACTTTCTATAAAATGTCAAAAGAGGATACACTCTTCACACATAAAGCATTTCAGAAAGATAAAGTGCTTTAGGGGTCTGAGGTGTCCCTTTAAGCTTACATTGTGCAGTTTTTTCCTTCAACTAACCACAACATTTACTGAATGTTGAATGTGTTTACTGAATAATACCCTCAGTGTTTCTTTCCCTTTTGAGGCATTCTGCAGAATCCACCAAGGTGATACATTTCAATTTTAATCTTCAGCCATGTCTGCTGATGTGCCGATACCCCGTTACCCCCATAAATATAGGCTCCTAGGGCCTTGCCCATGTTAGTAACAGACAATTCTGCCTTGTATGTAGTGCTTTCTCCAAATATCCAAAGATGGCAAGTAAAATCCCCTGATTTACGGAGCATCCATAAATCTTTTAATCTGTTACAGACTACACAAGGTATTCCAGGTACGCCTCGTGTTGTATGAAATGGATTAGAGCCGCTTTTCTCCAGCTAACACAGATAAAAAAAAAAGAGAGAAATTGCAAAACTCAAATTCAAACTGCGAAAATTCTTCACGGATTGTGAGCAAAGCTCAGCAGAACAGATCTAATGCTTCCCACTTCCCCCTAATACCTTGTTTTTATTCCTCTCCAGGGCGATGCAACAAGGTCAGACACTGATGAGGAGAAAGTCTCTGCTAACTTTGAGGAAGACCTGGAGAAGATACGAGATCTACGCACAGCAGGTGCAGTGTGAATCCCTTTACCTTTTAACTCATTGAGGCTATTTGGATTATGGCTACACCATTTGTTTCACACTCTTCTAGTGAACACAATGTTAAAAGAAAAATTATCTAGAGAAGCTATGACACTTTCACAATTAAAGAAAATACATTTTACTTGAAATGTTGTCTTCTACTGCCAACCCAAGTATTTTATTTAACTAATTTTTTAAAGTGTATATGTCAAAATTTCCATACAAGAGAGCCACTAAAAATGTAACTATGTATTTTAAATCTCGCCTATGGTGCAAGTGGTATTGAAAAATACTATCTCTGTGCAATCTAGGGTATTTTGTTGAATTGTGTATTGCGGAGATAGGACAAGACAATTGCAAATTCTGAGCCAAAATAGCCAATTCAAATTCTCAGTGCTTTATTATTGTCGGGACTTCAAAAGGAATTTCAAATGTGAAACCCCAAATTTTATTTCACATGGAATTTCTAACAATCCACACTTTAGTAAATAAAATCGCTGCAAAATATAGGCCAAAATAGAAACATTTAAAAAGAGATCTCCAGCTAACCTCGGGACTTCTGTTGTGGCTGTTTATGCCTATTTGTGGCTATTGATCTTGTGGTTGCCACAGAGGAAGTTGGCTGTAAGGCAAGCAGCATCTCATATATTTGGTTTGAGAGAGAGAGATAATAAAATGAACTATCTTGTTCATAGTGGTTATGAGAAATTTGGATTCTACAATTCTCCCAGAATGCTTTGTTAAATATGCAGATTAGCACAGACAAGCATGACTTCATCCTGCATTTCCTGTAGCCACAATTGGCAGTCGAGCACTGTTTTAAGTACAGCTTTTTAAATCAAAGCATGGGGCTAGTGTTCAATAAGGCCAAAGTCCAAAAACGAACTTTGTTCATTTGGGACTCATCAGCTAGGTGTTAAAGAAAGATACGGTAAGTACAATGTATGATTAACCCCCCTGCCCCCCCTTCACTGATTGATTTGCACATTAATTATAATTGCGGCTTTTTATTGAAGATACAGTGAAGCAGGTGATTTCATAGTAATATGGCAAATTGAATATTTTCTATATGTTCTGTTCAAGGTTATTTTTGCTCATATTGGTCTCTTAGACCAGGGAAGTCCAAAAGGTAGATCCCCAGATGTTGCAGAACTACAACTCCCATGATGCTTTGCATGCCTTTGCATTTATTTAGAATGACAAAGCTTTATGGAAGTTGTCGTTTTAAAATATCTGGGGATCTACCTTTTGGGCACCCCCTGTCTTAGACAATAGGCCAAGAGGATTTATTGGTACTGAGAAGCTTGTCGTGGGTGGTAGACGCTGTAATTAAGGTGACGTTTCTTTTCTGTCCAGAGTTGAAGATGTATTCTCTAGCAGTGACACCAAATGGACACCTTGACCCTCGTTGTTCTTTGCCACCACCTATTATCATGCGCACGGCTGCCACCCCGATGCCCACGCCTAAATGCTCACCCTGTCTGGACCCTGGACACCCATTCATAGATTCAAGAAGAGAAAGCAGCGTGTCTGTAGATCCATCCATGTGTGATCAGAAGTCTTTGGTGGGTACCTATATTTTCTGTTTCTATGAAAAAATATATTTTTTCACCATTTAATTCACTTTGATTTTGCTTTGAATTCTGGCAATTCACACTTTTTATTAAATAACCCTGTTTTGCTGTTATGTATTTTTCATTATTAAAGAGCTAAGGAATTAACAGGGTTATTTATTAGTGACAAATGCCTCATATTCAAAGTGAATTTCAAATTTTAAGACCAAAGTAGCCAAACTGGAATTATAGTTGATTTTGAGAATATTTCCAGTTCAGCCACTTTGGCCTTAACTTTTCTCACTTTACTAAATGTGTTTTGGGAATATGATGAACCCAAAACCGAAATAGATGCTTTACGCACCAAAACAACTTAAATTAATGAAGGCCCCTTAGCAGTCCTGATTCCAGCAGACAGTACCGATTTTGGGGTCATCTCCTGCCATTCCAATTTTGTCCCACGACCAGGAACAGCAGGAAACTCTCCTTGAGCAGCACATTGCAAATGCATCATTAGAATCACTTGCGATCTGAATGGGCACTAGAACCATACAGCGAGGGCTTCAGCAGTTGACTCTGCAAGGCGTTGTAGGTTAGTGGCCCCTTCAGGGTGGTGCCCTGTCTCTTTACCACATAGCCCCTCCTCTTTTCCAGGCAGGACCTGCCCCTTTCCAAGTGCCTTTCCATTGTGGGCATCATCGGAGACATGAGTTGGATCACTGGTGGTGCCCATTCCTGTTCTCATACCTCCCAGTGTTGGGAGGAATGTTTATTAAGTGTTTTTGGTGATCAATTCTCTGCCATTTAGGAGATAAATCACTTTATACAGCTCTAGTCATATCTTCCTGCATGTGACGTGCTCAGCCTTCCTAAACACTTCCTGAAAGGGAACCTAGATATTCTACATCCCCTTATTGCAAAGTCTGTTTACATTAGAATATCTTGTCTCCTACTCTGCAGGAGCCTCTTGTGTGTGATTAAAGTTCAACTATCAGAGCAAGAAATAAAAACTTCTAAAGTAAACACACTGTGCTGTAAGATCTGATAGAAAATTTAATATTTGAGGCTGGGGCTTCATAAAAAGAAACAAAAGTGATTTAACTCCTTAATGGCAAATAATTGAGCAGCGAGACTGCAGTTGCTTGAACTATACACTTAAGTTGTTTTATTGCTTAGAGTATTCCAATAAAGTTTTAGGTGACCTTTAAAACCAAATATTGCTAAAAGATATAAAAAAAAATGCTGTGTTCATGGCAATTTACATTGCTTGAATTAGTTTATTTCTAAAGATCAATACAAGGTTTATCAGCAGTATTTTAGTACAGACGTAAACTTTCTATTTGCTTCAAGAACAGGGTGAAATTAAACTGAACGAATTTGCGAATGCAGTTAATATGTAGTAGGTAAAGTGGTTTTTTTTTTGTTTGTTTGTTTGTTTTCAAGCAGATAACTTAAAGAGCCAGTAAAGGTTAAAATAATGAGGTTATTATCTTATCAAATTGTAGTGAATTGAAAATGGATTTGCAGAGTTTATGTCAAATCCTCCAACTCAGCTTAAAGTCACATGATCTTTATTTACGCCCAAATTAGAGTCAATCCAATGTTTAGCATATCAAATAAACATTTAAATTAAAAAAAAATCAATATTTATTTTTAAACAGCACACAGAGGTTTTTGTATTTTTTCTACAAAAGTGCATGATGGGTTTAACTCTGACCAGCTAACAGGTGATCAGGTGAGATATATGCTTGTGTTAATCTTAGTGTTTATATGACAAATTTTGTCAAAATCTCCCTTATCAGTTTATACTAAAACCGAGCAGTTACTGAACATGGCCCACTTGATCCTAAAAGATGTTATTTTTTTTTAAATAAAAATGTAATTTAAGAATAGTTTATTGCTTATAGTAAAATATGCGTACATTTTTTAATCTTACATGATCATTTTTTTACAGTAATTTAAAGCAGGTGACCTTTCATTCAAATTTAGAAACTCTTGAACGCCAAAAACATCTAAATTTGTTGTTACAGATGCCCTTTCCGCAGACATGAATCACATTTTTTGCAGAAACAACTTTGTACTGAGTGTTTACTTTGTTTGTTTGTTGACTTGCTCTCTCTATCCATAGGCTAGTCTCCGTAGCTCTCCGTGTGCCCCTTGGGCTACATACAGTAATTGGGGAAGCCGTCGCTCCAGCTGGAATAGTCTTGGCAGAGCCCCAAGCATCAAAAAGAAAAATCAGTCTGGTGAAAGGGAGTCCCTGCTGTCCGGCGAGGGGAAGGGAAGCACGGATGATGACTCTGATGACTGCAAGTCCAGCTCAATGGGTAGAGGATCCCTACATCGGCGGGCAGGTTCTCTGGATACTCGCGGCTCTTTGGACATCCCTGAGCTTCTCCAGGTGCCAACGTTACGCCACTCCCTTAGTGTCAGTCCTCTAGCCATGGTTCCTTCAGAGTTTCAAGACTGCAATGGCAAAATGCTTCACGTGCCCAGCGACCTGTTTGTCCGAGTAGAGAAGCACAAGGAGGAGCCTCCCCTGGACTATGAGGACGACCTAGAAGATGTGAGTCAGTTTCCCGTTGCGTTTGGGTGAGAACGATGGAGGGACATTTGGAGACAATATCCCACTGTCATGTAATGCCTTGCTCCTCTGTCTAAAGTATTCTTCCTTGTCTAGATAATTGACCTTTGCACACTAAAACAGGTGACTCCACTAAAGCATCTTCTAGTAACTGTCAAATTTTAGTGCCTCACTACATCACCAGATGGCCAGAAAAGTTGTGGCAGACCCTTACTGTCAATTCAGCACAAAGAAGCAAGTTACCAGGCAACAGAACAGAAGTTATTAAAAAATTAAACAAACCGTAAAAAAAATTCTCAGTAGAAAATAAAAAAAATAAAAAACAGCTTCCCAGGGATTTTTATCTTATGGTGGAAATTTATGTGATAAATAAATTTTTTGTGTTCTACCTATAAGATAAAATTAAAACATTTCCCATAGAAAACAAATGTGTAAAGTGTCAAAAACAGTATAAAAATATTTGTAGATAAAACTAAAAAACTGGCTTAACCACATCCACCCGCAGACAGAAGGATAAAAACTAGGAGCGTGGCATTAATTATGCGTCATTTTGAAAAGCTCACCCCCTCTACTTGATGGTGATACCGATCCATTCCATGTTTTTCATTGGTTAAGGAAGGGTCTATAGAATAGCGTCCGATAGCTGGAGCAGTGCTCCAAGGCATAGACTGCTGACCTTTATGTTCACAGTTATATGGAGAAGCGAACAAAAAAGAGTGTATAGTATTTGTTTTTGTTTTTTAAAACAAAATAAAGTTATTTAAAGTAGTACCATCAAGTTTAATGATTTTTAGCCTTCTATCAGCTTATCCCCAGTTTTATGAAAAATAAACTGAAAGGAACACTATAGGCACAAAAACCACTTTAGCTTAATGAAGCAGTTTTGGTGTAGAGATCATGCCCCTGCAGTCTCATTGCTCAATTATCTGCCATTCAGGAGATAAATCACTTTGTTTATACAGCCCTAGTCACACCTCTTTGCATGTGACTTGCCCAGCCTTCCTAAACACTTCCTGAGAAGGAACCTAGATAGTCTATGCTCTCTTATTGCACAGTCTGTTTAATTTAGAATGTCTTATCTCCTTTTCTGTTAATAGCCTACTAGAGCCTACATGAGCCTGTGTGTGTGATTAAAGTTCAGTTATTCTATTTCACATCTTCCAATGCAATGTGTACATTGTCTGTCCCAGGACTGGATTGTGTTGCCAATTGCTACATTTTTAACATACATTTAAAAGAAAACAGCATTATATATGAAGAGGTTAGCGGAGCGGTATAGGTTATTTTCAGTGTTTCATTCAATATTGTTATTTCTACAGTAGTCATGGCTTCATGTTAATGCAGAATTGAGGAACAAGAGTTTTCAGCTGATTTTAGACAGTCTGTTTTAAAGAGCTTGCAATCTACTGTATTGATTGTACGGATGCTTTGGATGAAGGGCCAGACTAAGAATTATTCTCCCTTATTAGTCTTGCAATGGAAAATACTTGTCTACGGATACATGCTGTTTCCGGAGGCCTGTAGGGGACATTGCATTGAAATATACATTATCTAAACATTATCTGTTACATCATGCCACTATTATCCCCATAACTTCCTCGCTAATGATCCCCAGAGGAATCAGAATAGGTAGCGCAATGTACAGCTATTGCCTAATTCATTCTATAGTGTACTTAAAATGCCAGTATCCCAGCAACTAATTACAGGAAACACTGAGCAATTAAGTTTAATATGCAGTTATATGGCAATTAACCAGTTTATCACAATATCATTATAATAAGGATTATTGTGAATGCAGATTATATTTTAGTTTAACCTTGTTTTATATGTCTTTGAAATTGGTAAGGCTGGGAGAGTTGAAAATATATAAATATAAGCTTTTTCCTTGGTTTGGTTGGTTTGTCCTGAAATAATGCACCGAAGAAAAGGTTAATGACAGATTCTCTGTAAATGATGGAATATTTTATTAAATCAATCCAATGATTTTTCTTTCATTTTATTCTTTCATTCTTTAGATAAACAATGTTTTTTTTTTTTTTTTTATAAATTAAGATGAAATCTAGGTTCCTATCACCTATTGTTACTCTTTTTTTTTTTTTTTAAAGCTCCAACCTAATCCGTAGCGCTGTACAATAGCCAAATACGTATTTGTAATTTTGACAAAACATTTTTGGCTTACAGTAGAAAGATTTGAAGAAGACCCTGCTCATGTAATGTACCCTCTGCATTGTATTGATTTAGGGCACATCACTTATTTATCTAGTGTTTCATTTCTCCATGATCTTTATAAATTCTATAGTGTTCCGTTTTTCAGTTCCATAACGTCCATTTCTCTCAGTTCTCAAATGTCCAAGTTTTCTGACTCCTCTAGTATTCTATTTAATGATGTTCTATAGTATCCCACTTTTCCAAGTTCTCGTGTTCGTCTTCAAAGGTTTTTAGCCTTCCATTTCCCCAAGTTCTGTAGTGTTCTATTTCTCCAAGTGTCTAGTGTTCATTTCTCTTAGTCCTCTGGTGTTCCATTTCTCTATGTTCTCATGTTTTCCGTTTCTCCGAGTTCTCTGGTGTTCTGTTTCTCCCAGTTTTCTCGTCTTCCATTTTTCAGACTACTTTAGTGTTCCAGTTCAGATCTCTAGATGTCCGTTTATCCAAGTTCTCTAACCCTTCTTTCTCCAACTTTTCTTCTATGTTCTATTTCACCACATTCTGTCGTGTTCTACCTCTCTAATTTCTTTTTAGTGTGCAACTTCTTCAATTTCTCCGGTGTTCTATTTCTCCCAGTTCTCTAGTGTTTAATTGTTTTCAGACTTCCCTGTTACATTTTAAGATTCCTCTAGTGCAGTTGTCCCCAACCTAGCCCTGATGGACCATCAACAGTCCAGGTTTTGTCAGTATCTCCTTTTGAATAAATAAGGGAAATGCATACATTTTGGACTGTTGGTGGTCCACGAGGACTGGGTTGGGAACCACTTCTCTAGTGTACCACTATTCTGAGTTTTCTAAAATTATTTTTTTCCATGTCCTCTAACTTATCTCCAACTTTTCTTGTGGTCTACCAGACAGCCACTAGAGGGACTTCAGGGTGGTTAGGCGACTTTTTGATGCTGACTTTATACGCTGTGCATGAGGACAACCAGCGTCACCCAAAACCTCATAAGAAAGCATTATAAAATGCATGCGCTTTAGGTCCACCTTCCGGCTGCTGTTGGCAAGGGAGGATTGAAGGCAGAGCCTGAACCAGCGCCGAGGAACATCGGCCCTGGAATCGGGTAAGTGGCATAAGGGTTATTTAACCCCTTCTGCACCATATAGACATGAGGGAGGAAGCCCTATAGGGAACTTTGTTTTCCTGGCACTATAGTTTCGGTTTAAAGGGACACGCTATGCATGAGGACCTCAAGCGTTGCCGGAATCCCCATAGAAAACCATTGAATAATGCTTTCCTATGGAGATGTCTCCCCCGCCAGCAGACGTCGTCGGGGAAGGAGAGTGGGCGGATGCCTGACCCAGCGCCGAGGGACATCGGTGCTGGATTCAAGTAAGTGTCTGAAGGGGTTTTAACCCCTTCAGCAACATGGGATGGGGGCAGGAGGGAGGGGGGCACTCCAGGATTCTCTAGTGCCAGGAAAACGGATTTGTTTTCCTGACACTAGAGAATCCCTTTAAGGTGGTATTTTGGGAAATTTCATTACACAAAATACAAGCAAAATTCTTATAGATACCCATAAGCCATTTGACCTATTTTTTTTTTTAAAACTAACCATTTATCCTGTACAGACCAGGGATATATCATTTCATTTCAAATCATTTTTACCCTAACCCCAATATAAAAAAACAAAACAAAAAAAACCCCTTATATAAATAAATAAAATAATCTGTAAAAATTACTTTTCACTTATAAGTTTCACTGATCAGTTTATACACTAGACTGCTTTAAATTCATATGTTGGCTTTGTGGCAAGTTTTCTTGACCTCTTTTCTGGGGAAGTTGATTATGGTTTTATAAAAATTCTTCATATGAATATATTAGAATGTGTCCGGGTTTTCCGAAAATGTTTATAGATTTATGTATTTGTTTGCAGTTCTGCCAGTTGTAGCATAGATTAGACTGCAGTGCCCGCACGCTGGCTGTGCATCATGAGATTCATAGTCCACAGACATCTGCAGTGCCACAGTTAGCTGTCATTGGTTTACCTAATTACTTATGCTCTACATACCGAACGCTACATTCTGTTCAGGTGAAATTTTCCCTTCGAGGCTCTAGTCCATGTTTTATTTGTTTTATATATATATTTATCTGCGTGTGCTGCAGCTCACTGATCAATGCCGTGTGTAATTACATTCACCGCCATTCAACTTTGAAAAATAAGCCGCAGCATCAAATCAGTTTTCACTTTTTTAAGCTTTAACTCTTTGAGCGCTCTGGAGATTTATTCATTAATCGCCGAACTGCAGTAAATTGGAAACCAAATTGCTACATTTGGGCATAAAATTGTAGCTGAGCTGTAGCTGAATTTTTTTTTTAAATCAGCTTTTTTTAGCCTGTATTTTGCATCTGGTTTTCAATTTATTACAGTTCAGTGTTTGTACTTTTTTTTGTTTAAATTAACACAAAAGATTAAATTTAAAAGGGACGATAAAGTGTATAGAAACAAGCCCAAAGCCCTCATATATCCAAACTTGTAGAGCTGCAAAACACATACTGTTTAGGATCCATACCTGTCAAGTGTCTCTATTTAGGAGGGTCAGTCCCTATTTTGGCAAAAATCCCTCAGTCTCTTTTTTTAATCCTAATATTCCTCTTTTCTAAGAGCTCCATATACCTGGTGTGTCTGAGTGTATAACAGAGCTCCACAGCAATAATACTCCCAGTAATAAGTCTTTAAACTACAATAAATGTGTTTGGGAATCTGTCTGTGTTCCTGTTATAAACTGCATTTTAGTTGCATAAATTATTATTAGTAAGTCACCTAAAAGTTTTGATAACAGCCCTGTCTCTGGCCGTACCCCTAAAATTAAAGTCTCTTTATCCATTTGAAATTTTGGGAGGTATGAGAACCCAAATTACTAACATCTTATAATGACATGATCACGGCTGAGCAAGACCTGTTCAAGGCTTTTATGACCATGAAAAAAGTATCCCGTTGATTATTTACACTGTAGGAAGTTTCAGGAACCATAGTTTTATGCAATTCATGGAAAAAAATGTTTAAAAAGTTTAGACCTCATAGGCACCTGGAATATATAACTACATATCTGTTTGTTTGTTTTTTGTTTTTTTTAATTAACAGAAATGTGTGCTTTTTGCTTGAAACGAGTGCCAGGAATTATAAATATTTTTGGGTCTTCTGAAACTTCTGAAATGTTTGTTATGTAATTGCTCCTTAGGAAAAAGTTGAGGTTTAACTAGTGGACCCTATCTACTAAGCTGTGCATTGTGTGCTTCTGATTTTTATACAGATACGAGCACACATTTTCGACTCAATTAATTTAATGAGTATTTCCTTTTGTTTTGAAGCACACTGAAAAATGCACACCACTACATGCAATATAAAAACTAGTGAAAAACTATAATGTTTCCACTAGTGTATTACTACTTATGAATTACACATCAATGAGATGCTAATATCATGTGCAAAATCATGTTCTGAATCTGTTCTGTTTTACCCCAACATTAATTAGATCTCAAGACGTTCTATCCTTAATAGATCCTATAAAATGTTTCTATTGCATAATGTGATTGCTTCATATTTATTCAGGCTCGTGAATATTGAGATTTAAGGCACACAATATTAAAATTGACACAGGCCTGATGTTGACCTGTTATGTCATACTAAGGCACATTGCTTGTGTGTTTGGAACCGTTAGTTTAATGTTTAACCATCTCACTTTGTGCTGTCTTTGTTCCGATATCACTCCAGAGTTACTGCTTCCGGATTCGTAAGATTTTGGAGCCTTACAAACCGAAATGGTGCAAGACTCATGAAGACTGGTCTCTTTACATATTCTCGCCACAAAATCAGTAAGGAACAAGATCAAAACAATTCATTTTTCCAGGTTGTTATATACTTAATATAAAAAAAAAAAAGAGTTGAGTGGCCATTAATTATTGTGTGGCCAAGTGATGAGTTTAGAAAGCCTTTTTGCGTAGTTGGCTGATGTAATTCACCAACATTTCACCTGTGTTCCTTCTCACTCTTGGATGCTTAGTAACCTGACTGTAGCTAAAAAATGGTGGTTTCTAGATAGATCCAAAGAGCCAAATAATCATTAGATGTTTTTGTGTCTTTGGTCAGGTTTCGTATGATGTGCCAGAAGGTCATTGCTCACAAGATGTTTGATCATGTGGTACTTGTTTTCATCTTTCTAAATTGCATCACGATTGCTCTGGAACGACCTGACATTGACCCAAACAGTATGGTAAGGCATTTGGACGTCATTAGTTTGTATCACGATAACACAACTGGAAGCGGAATCTAAGCGAGAAAGAAAGATTATTTATTTATTTTTAGCATTCAGCTTTATTTTGAGAGAATAGATTGAGCTATAGAAATCATAAAATAAAGTGCAAGGTAAAACCAGATTATGTAACAGGTGAAAGACAAGATGACAATGACAAATAATAAAAAAAAAACACACAAGGACACACAGGAGTGAGAGGTCCATGAAGCAGGGACCAATAAATGTAATGTAAAAAGGTGAAAATATTTTTATTATTTTTATTATTGTTTGCTGTATAAAGCATTAAAATATGTGTTGTAATAGCTTCCCCTGAGTTTCTGTTTAATAATGTTTAAAGGGAAAAGTAACTAATAAAAAATATGGACTGTATCATTTACCCAGGAGTTTATCTTTAAACAATGTTTACAGGGAAAAATAACTGAAGAACTTTGCAAATCAGTTGTGTAAATGGCATTTTGAGATCTTGCAGAGATGACCTTGGAACTGGGTTATCTTACTCCTGTTATGATATGTTTGTTCAAGGTTCTGGTAATGTAAAACCGTCTCTGAGAGTTGTTCTAGTTCTCCATCTATTTTAAGATAATTTTCTCTTTTTATATTTGTCCAGGAAAGGATATTTTTGAGTGTTTCGAACTACATTTTTACAGCAATCTTTGTTGTGGAAATGACCATCAAGGTAATGCAATCACGATTTGTACTTTGACTTCACTTTCATTTTTTTAATCATTGTCACCCCTTTTCATTGCGTTGCTCTATCCCTTATCATTCCCCTCTTGAACCCTTCTCTAACTATTATGATTTCAACTCACAACCAAATTATCATGTGCCTTTTCCAACCATCATTTCATCTCTGCACCTAATAAATTTTACATGTCACACTCTCTTTTTTGCCTCTCTGTTACTTGTCTTTTGATGTCTCAACACCATATATTTTGGTACAATTTCACCTCTCCAGCCTTTATTGTTTTAACTTTTTACCAGTTGTCATTTCACTTCGTAATCCCTTTTAATTTCACCTCTCCACCTCTAACTGTTTCACCTATCCATTCTTTATCTTTGATTGATAATGAAATGGCCAAATACTGTTTCTAAATTACAATGAAAAATGTTTTCTCTTGTCACATAATTCCTCTGATTTTGGTCACAGGTGGTGGCTCTTGGGTTTTTCTCTGGGGAGAATGCTTACCTACAGAGCAGCTGGAATGTCCTGGATGGAATCCTGGTCTTTGTTTCCATCATCGATATCATCGTGTCTCTGGCATCGGCTGGAGGAGCCAAAATCCTGGGCATCTTGAGAGTCTTGAGGCTGCTGCGTACCCTACGTCCCCTACGGTATTAATGCACTATTTTAGCTCTCTTTATTGGTGTGTGGCTCTCCCCCCTTAAAGGATCACTATAGGGTCAGGAACACAGACATGTGTTCCTGACCCTATAGTGTTAATGCCACCATCTAGCCCCCCTGGGCCCCTCATGCCTCCATAAATATAATAAAAATCTTACTGTATTCAAGCCTGAAGCTGTAAATCTGCATGCTGTTAGACTCAGAAAAACAAGCAGGCTGCTGACATGTGATAGCCTGATCCAATCACAGTGCTTCCCCATAGGATTGGCTGAGACTGACAAGGAGGCAGATCAGGGGCAGAGCCAGCATGATTCAAACACAGCCCTGGCCAATCAGCGTCTCCTCATACAGATGAATTGAATAAATGAATCTCTATGAGGAAAGTTCAGTGTCTGCATGCAGAGGGAGGAGATACTGAATCACAGGATGCTGTGCACAGTGCTGCCCTGTGCCCTGCCGACAGTAGATCTGAGTAGATGGAGGCATATTATGCCTCCATCATCTCCAAAGTCCCTCTGGTTCACTCTGAGTGACTGCAACTGGAGGTGTTCCTCCAGCTTTCAATGTAAACACTGTATTTTCTCAGAAAATACAGTGTTTACATGAGAAAGGCTGCAGAGAGCTATAGTTCTCACCTGAACAACCTCATTAAGCTGAAGTTGTTCAGGTGACTATAGTGTCCCTTTAATAATGTAGGAACAGATAAACTGTGGGTTGTCCATAAGGATACATTTTGGGGCAAAGGTGTAAAGCAGGAGATATAGGCAGGAAATTTCCACAGGCTTCCATGGCAAGTCTTCTGCTTTTAGGACTTTACCCAAGAACTGCTCTTGATATCCACAAGTGTGACACTCATATAGATTTATGGTGCTCAGGGCAACTTTATTAATTAATTATTATTAATTTTTTTTTTTTAATATATTTTATTTATAATTGTTTTTTTATAACGGTAGGGATATATTGAGATTTGTCTCATCTCATCAAGTATGTCTTAGAGAGCATATAAAATACAACGTTGCACAAATAATAGGACACCTATATACTACAATTATAGATACTGTAGAATATTGCATATTCTATGTTTCTATTGATTATATATGGATGTGTGGATTGACATAAGTAACAGATGGTATAAGTCACAAGGCTTTCTTTGTCCGAGAGCTCTGGGATGTGGATTTGGGGTTTTTGACCTTATAGGGCTAGAGTTATAGTCTGACGTCATTATGGCACTTCTATATAGTAACTGAACAGAGGGACACGAGGTCGCTCTCTCTCTTGGCTCTTGGCTCTTGGCTCTCTCTGGCTCTCTCTCTCGATGTAAAGATGTAAGGATGTAAAGAAGTCCAGCAATTACCATCGGCCGTTGAATGTCCATTATCCTGTAACATCATTTATTGTTTTATTATGTATCCGTAACTAAGAATAAACCTGAAGAAACCGTAAGTCAGATTGCGTATTAGTACTTTTCAATAATATAGACATATATTATTGTGGCGAGCATTTGGCCCAAGACTATATATACAAAAGACGTATATATATCAATCAACTGAAGACAAGAAGAAATTAAGAAGCTTTAACAGTGATCAATCTCAACCAGATTTTACAGATACATTACACATGCAAAACAATTGTAAATTAATAATCAGTACAATGTTTTGTTTTTGAATGAGGGTAGAAGGATACAGATTGTTTTCAGGGACTTGAGACTGGTGGCAAATTTGATTTCCTTTGCCAGGTTATCCTTGTATGTGGAACTCTATAAGAGAAAGCTTCTCTACCGAACCTTCTTTTCGAGGTGAAGAACGGAAAGTAAAGAGCAGAAAGTAAAGTGGAGGATATAGGGTGTTGAGGCAGCAGGATTGAGCATACTGCTCAGCTAGTGTGAGAGGATTCCAAATATAAAGCAGACAAAAAAGGTGAAGATTGCATTAGTATTTAAGAGTTGTCCAATTAAGTAGTTTCTACATACCTTTAATGAAGGATACTGTAGTTACTTTGGAAACAGTGCAAAATGGAAACACAGGAAGGTAATAGAGTGATGTAATTGTCCGTAAAGGGGGCAGGTCCACTCGAATTATCAACCCAATGAGGGCAGACCCTGCTGTAAGCTCTGTTCATTGCTTTCTGCAGGGTCCTAATACCCTGATGCACTCCCGTTAGGCTTGTTGGGGACAGCTCCCTGCTGTTCCCAAAGATGGAACACCAGGGAACAAAGGTGGGGTGGAAGAATAGGACCTGAAAATCGGGACTGTCACACTAAAATTGGGATGGATGAGAGGCATGAAAGCGACATAAGAGTTATAAAGAGTGTTACATTTAGTGAGAAATTTTTGTATCTATTACATCCCTATAGTCGAGGACTGGCATTAACATTTCAGACACAATCTAGAGCGCCAGTTTTGAGATAACATTTGGAGGACTGTTGTTCAATATGTAAGCCAATTGACAGATTGGGATCTAACCACATACCAGGATATTTATAGGATCTGACAGTGACCAGGTAACAGTTAGATTTGTCGTAATGCATATTTTGGGATTAGTTAGTTTAAGCAATTTATGCTTTATTTTGAATTCCATTGCAAATATTTTGGCAGTATTTAAGGAAAGCTTATTTTTAGTACACCATCTTTCAACTTCTGCAAAATCATCCAGTAACACGGCTTCAAGTTGTGAAAAGTTTGCGTTACTTGCATAGATTCTTGTGTCATCTGCATACATGTGCACAAGTGATGCCCTTCACCCGTGGAAAAGTGATTAATAAATATGGAGAATAGAATGGAGCCAAGAATTGAACCTTGGAGGACTCCACATATAACTTTGATGGAGTGGGAGACACTGTGGGCGATGGACACAAATTTAGCCTTTTTCAGAAAAGTACAACAAATACCACTAAAGAGGCTGATCACCTGTATTTTAAACTGTAGGTTTATTTTGTAAGATTGCATGGTCAACCATATCTGCCCTTGTCAAAATAAAGGCTAATGGCTTGACTATCCCATAAGATAATCCATTATTACTTTACTTTTATGTCATGGACTTGTGACGTTCTACAGTTGCAAGAAAAAGTATGTGAACCCTTTGGAATGATATGGATTTCTGCACAAAGTGGTCATAAAATGTGATCTGATCATCATCTAAGTCACAACAATAGACAATCACAGTCTGCTTAAACTAATAACACACAAAGAATGAAATGTTGCCATGTTTTTATTGAACACACCATGTAAACATTCACAGTGCAGGTGGAAAAAGTATGTGAACCCCTAGACTAATGACATCTCCAAGAGCTAATTGGAGTGAGATGTCAGCCAACTGGAGTTCAATCAATGAGATGAGATTGGAGGTGTTGGTTACAGCTGCCCTGCCCTATAAAAAACACATACCAGTTCTGGGTTTGCTTTTCACAAGAAGCATTGCCTGATGTAAATGATGTCTCGCACAAAAGAGCTCTCAGAAGACCTACAATTAAGAATTGTTGACTTGCATAAAGTTGGAAAGGGTTCTAAAAGTATCTCCAAAAGCCTTGCTGTTCATCAGTCCACGGTAAGACAAATTGTCTATAAATGGAGAAAGTTCAGCACTGCTGCTACTCTCCCTAGGAGTGGCCATCCTGTAAAGATGACTGCAAGAGCACAGCGCAGACTGCTCAATGAGGTGAAGAAGAATCCTAGAGTGTCAGCTAAAGACTTACAAAAGTCACTGGCAAATGCTAACATCCCTGTTAGCGAATCTACAATACGTAAAACACTAAACAAGAATGGATTTCATGGGAGGATACAACAGAGGAAGCCACTGCTGTCCAAACAAAACATTGCTGCACATTTACAGTTTGCACAAGAGCACCTGGATGTTCCACAACAGTACTGGCAAAATATTCTGTGGACAGATGAAACCAAAGTTGAGTTGTTTGGAAGAAACACACAACACTATGTGTGGCGAAAAAAAGGCACAGCACACCAACATCAAAACCTCATCCCAACTGTAAAGTATGGTGGTGGGGGCATCATGGTTTGGGGCTGCTTTGCTGCATCAGGGCCTGGATGGATTGCTATCATCGAAGAAAAAATGAATTCCCAAGTTTATCAAGACATTTTTCAGGAGAACTTAAGGCCATCTGTCTACCAGCCGAAGCTCAACAGAAGATGGGTGTTGCAACAGGACAATGACCCAAAGCATAGAAGTAAACCAGACATCCCAAGAATATTGCTGAACTGAAACAGTTCTGTAAAGAGTAATGGTCAAGAATTACTCCTGACCGCTGTGCATGTCTGATCTGCAACTACAGGAAACGTTTGGTTGAAGTTATTGCTGCCAAAGGAGGTTCAACCAGTTATTAAATCCAAGGGTTCACATACTTTTTCCACCTGCACTGTGAATGTTTACATGGTGTGTTCAATAAAAACATGGCAACATTTCATTCTTTGTGTGTTATTAGTTTAAGCAGACTGTGATTGTCTATTGTTGTGACTTAGATGATGATCAGATCACATTTTATGACCAATTTGTGCAGAAATCCATATCATTCCAAAGGGTTCACATACTTTTTCTTGCAACTGTATATATATATATATATATATATATATATATATAATGCGAATATTGATTATCCAAACAGGAACTGATGGATTGAGTTGTTCTATTGAATACAACTTGCCAACAGAGAGATACGTTGTTAATTCCTGTTAATGAAGTAAGGCAGGAATATATTTCACCATACTGCTTTTCCATTACAAGCAAAGAGTCAGGTGCATTTACCGGTATTTCTGATTGTGAATGACAGTTTTCCTGTCCTCCGTGTCATTTACAATCCGCACTGGTCTTGTGCACAACTTCTTTCCTATTTAGAGTCAGACATAAACTGTCATATTATACACCACTTAGCATTACACTGTCTTGGTTCCACTGTCTTGGTAAGACGGAACTCAGAACACCCAGTTTTTGTTTATCTGCAGCCATGTAGTTGGCAGTTGTTAGCTGCTAAATTACATGTTGTAATGCAGGTTATGACATCCTGTAGGACAAGTATTACTGTTAGATTACACCAAATACCGCCTAAGAAAAACAACTTGTTTTTTTTTCTTTCTTAAACAGTAAGTGGTGACTTTGATAAATTAACATTATATCAAAGTGCAATAACATTATTTTTCATATCCTGCTGGCATTTTGGGAATATGATTTTCCAAAAAGAGTGTCAGATCATTATTATTTAGATTGTTTGTTTGTTTGTTTTTTAAATAATATTTGCCCTTTATATTTTTTCTGACCTTAATAGTGGGAAGGCAAAACAATATATACCAAACATTCTTGCTTATTTAAAAAAAAAAAAAAAAAAACCCTGTCCTATTTTTCTTTGTAGTATGAACAAATTGAAAACAAAAAAATATATATAATATTTGTGGCGTATGCTGAACAGCAGTCTATAAGTGCAGTTGCTGTTTTGTCCTAATTTCGTCTGCTAGCTATGCATCCCATATTTCAAATAAAGGTTATGTTCAATGGAACATGCACGGTTTAAATCACAAGCAATAGTGGTAAATGGAACACAACCTCTTTCCATTAAACCATTTAAACCTTTGTGAACTATGTAATTTGATTGGTTATTTTTATGTTTAGAAACAGCTGTGTGCTTTATTAGATGGGCCTCTGGGGTTGTTCTTTCCAAACACCTTCTCTGTTTTTTCAATGTATTTATTTTTTTGCCTTGTTTCATTATTGTAAAGAAAGCGTTTTCTATTTTGGATGTCCCGATTTCAGCGAGTTGAAACATGCATTTTGTATTTTGTTCTTACCCGGCTGTGGTTTCATTAGGGATGTAAGTGATGATCAAGAATTAAACTGGCAGAAAATAAAAGCACTGCAATTGTTCTGTGACCTCTTGACTCCCAAAAGGTAGTTTCAGGGTCTGTTCTCAATGTTTGTTCGCAAACAGATTCTTCAAATCCGTAGAGAATATCAGCAGTTCAAGGCAGATACACATTCTACACAAAACGCATTCTACAAAACAAATTCACACACGTTGTTACTGCAGTACACGAACATTCCTGTAATAAACAGAACGCAAGCCTTTTCTTTATTTGGGTAAAAAAAAAAGCACTTCCACTCCTTGCAATTCACATGCAGCAGTTTGAACTATAATCCCAAATCACAGAGCACATGTGTGTTTGGAATTTGGGATCTCTTTTGGTCTGTATTCGAAATTCTGGTTTGTTTACTAATCCACAAATTCAATTAGTGAAAATTCACCAGGGGCTATTAAGTGTTAGGCCAAAATAGCTGATTGGAAAAATTGTCCAAGTCAGTTTTTTGGCTTTGCTACTGGTTAATATTTGTCAATATTTTAAATTTCCCAGGACAGCTCAAGGTTTAGTGAATAACTATATGATTCCCGAGTGTATGCCCTCTGTCAGGTGTGATGCCACAATGTTCCCCGGGGTTTTTAAGTTTATGAAGAATGTAGTCCCCCAGAGTTTGGAACTAGCGATGTTATGCCTTAAAGTCTGCCTTGTCCACAATCTGGCGGAATAACTATTATCCGATGTGGTATATCTATAATTATTTTCAATGGCCAACTTATTCCGCAGTGCTTTACAATATTAGAAAGGTGGAAATGTAACAATAAATGAGACAATTACAAATTGTTAAAGGAACAATAGGTTGATAAGGACTCTGCTCAAAAGAACTTACAATCTAGAGGATTTCTTTAGCATCCAATCACATTACCAAGTAAAATCACTGCTTAACAGAACCACAAATCTCTTTATTTATATTGTTGTGGTAACGATGGAACTTGCATTATATAAGTCTCAATTAATTAAAATTCAATTCTAAAATTAGTGTGGGATTTACTCTCAATAACTGAAATTCATATTGCGCGAGCATGACATTTTTTCCATCTCCCGTCATGAACTCACCATTTTTGCGAATAAACCACTTATTTAGCATTCCGTCAAGTTTTACTGTGGCAGTTTCAGCCAAAATATTGTCCTACAAAATATATGTAATGTTTACAATCTTTAAGGAAACTTTTTATGTGTCGGACGTCGGACTATGACGGTTGTATTTATAACTCATCTTCAGACTACTCATCACTGTTATTCTTCTGTTGGTTACAGAGTTATCAGCAGAGCGCCAGGCCTCAAACTGGTGGTAGAGACTTTAATTTCTTCACTCCGACCCATTGGAAATATCGTCCTGATCTGTTGCGCTTTCTTCATCATCTTTGGTATTTTGGGAGTACAGGTAAGGGTTGGGGGAACTTGTTGCAGTTTCAGTAAAACAGTAGTTGATACATGTTTAACTAGGATAAGTGTTACCATGAACATCAGTCTTACGATGCCCATCAAACAACTCATTAAAGGTTAGAAATGTAGCTTGCTGGGGTAAAAAGTGAAATCCGTCTGTTTTGTTGTTTCTAATGTGCTTATATTCTTTACAAGTAAACTAAGGGATTATCATCATAGTTACTTCTATTGAAATGGCTTTGATGAGGACACATCAGAATTGTTTAGTTTACTTTTAATAAAAAAGTTAACATGCAGATGTTTCTTTTAACACCAAACCACCCCAGCCCAAATCTTGCTCAGCATGATAGAAGTTATAGTCCAACAGGGACAGACAATATCAAGTCATGCAGTGGCTTGTTTTTTTTTTTTCTACAATCGTACCTTGGAAGGGCAGAGGTCAAAAACTAGAATTGTGTAGTGTTTTTAGAGCACAAGTGCCCAAAAGGTAGGTGCCCAGATCTTGTGGAACTACAACTCCCATGATGCCTTGCATTCCTTTAGAATGTTTTTAGAATGACAAAGCATCATGGACGTTTTAGTTTTAAAACATCTGAGGATTTACCTTTTGGGCACTGCTGTGTTAGAGGGTTAGATTGTATGACAGCTGTGTGTGTGAAGCATCTTGGGTTAGCATTTTGTGTTGTGGCTCCAGATGCAAATGCTGGACAAAATTGATTGGCAGCCAGGAGTTAGTATCCCAGTTGCTGATTCACAGCCCATAGATGCAGCACTACACACACAAAAAATGAAAATTTATTTGTCTCCAGAATTAAACATTTTTAAAAGAAAGGGTGCAGGTTTTTGCACCACAACCACTTCAGAGATTAATAACCCTTTAAATACACAGGCTTGGCATTCCATACAAATTAACTTACTTTTCCCATGATCCCCTGGCACAATTTAATTGTTTGGGCATGGTTTTGGTGGGTTTTCCTGTACTGAGTCCTTTTAAACCCCAAAATTGTTGATTGGGGAAAATAAATATTCAGGGGGCACCAAATATTATACTACAAGGGGAATAGAGATATTTCTTTCCTTACAAAAAAAATTAAAATTCCTTATTACAATATCTGACTCCAAAAAAGACATTTAGAGTCGTTTCTCAGTAAGTATGGGCTTTGCAGAATGTATAAACCAAGGATGAATGACAGAGATGGATAATTACATTGCTTCACATTCTCAAACACACTCTTCATGTTTTTGAGAGGTGGAACAGGACCTTTAATTATCATTTCTGCTTCCTGGGACCATTATGGACTTTTCCATCCCCCTTTCAGTGTTCCAATTATCTCTCCTTCACAGACTCGTAATTAATTGAATTTATGGACTTACCCTTGTGCCGTGTCAGCCTCTCATTAACATATGAATATCTAGAGACCTCATGCCCATATTTGTTCGTTGATCAATTGTGGTTTATGCTGAGTGGAGGAGGAGTCACTTGAGATAAATTAGAAATGTGGGTGTTTTTAATTGCACTGGCTATTTGGCTGACCCAAAGAATTAATGATTGTTTTTTGTTTTTTTAGCTTTTCAAAGGGAAGTTTTATTACTGTGAGGGTCTGGAAACTCGTAATATCACAAACAGATCAGAATGCAACCGAGCGCGTTACAAATGGGTACGGAGGAAGTACAACTTTGACAATTTGGGGCAGGTAGGTCATATGATGCTGGTTTTACCCTCAATTCTTTTTCAGATGATCAAAAAACAAAAAGTTCCTAAATTCTACTTGCAGAACATGATAAAATAATATTGCCATCAGAAAATGTGTATTGACTATCAAATTGGTGCTCAAATTGAAATCCCTTGGGCTTTGTTGCCACGGTTTGTGATCAATGACACAATTATTGAAGCGATATTAAAGACATCCACACACATTTCATACAAACGTTTGGTGCAATGTGAAAATCAGGTTACACTTTCTATTTTATTAATCTTGTATTCTTTTTCTTTCATTTAAATAGTAACTAGTTTTACTTTATAATCCCACCCTTTCTCCATACATTTTAATGATTCATCTATATTATACATTTAGAAAGAATGGGTCAACTTTGACAAAAAGTTGTCTAATGCCAACCGTAGGATGGGGATCTTGTAGTAATTCCTCCGCAGGCTACATCCGTACTTGACAAATTGTATTTAGCAAATAAACCAAAAACACATCACATTTATCAACACATTTAGTTCTATTTTTTTTTTTATTGCAATGCACATCGTTTGCCCAGTTCCCAATTAATTTTCTATTTCAGCACAGTCGGGCACAATGAGATTTGTGACAATACATATCAATTAGATACTAATAATATTATGCGTGTTCCTGTCTTTTCTTAGGCTCTGATGTCACTGTTTGTTCTGTCGTCCAAAGATGGCTGGGTAAATATTATGTACGATGGTCTGGATGCTGTTGCCACAGATATTCAGGTATAAAACATCTCTTTTGCGTCCTAGTTTTCATTAGAGTAATTTGCAGTCTTGTGGTGCCTCCAATACAACATCATTTCAGTGGGATGAGACAGTGGGATGTTAAATTGACTGTAGTCTTTGTTGTAGCTGCTCAAACCTATTCTAAAGAACTTATGAATTCCAAAAAAGGAGGACTAAGTCACTAATCAACCTCTGAGAGCCCTCTCTAAGGAGTCAGTCATCTTCATAAATGGGGTTTAGTAATAAATTCTGATCTTTAATATCTGGGCAGGGTAAGAAGTCAGGGATTTTAAAAACAATACTGTAGTAAGTAGTAGAATGACGTATCATTCAAGCCATTAAGACTTTGTGAAAACATTAACAGGGAGCTTTTAAACTTGCATTGTTTGTTGCATTCTGCACATATTGTACTGGGTTTTACTCTGAATTCAGAAAGCATTGTAAACTCCAACTCATATTTTTTTGAGGAATTTCACTTGCCCTAACAGGGAGCAACACAGGAAATGGTCAAAATCAGTCATTATTCAATCGTATGCGAATTTGGGAGAGAAAACACCAACAACCATTTTCAATTATTGACTGATCATTTTATGAGTGTATTCAGCAACTAGTGATGGGGAGAATTCACAAGGGAAATGTATTGTTGGGAATAACAGCTCTTTAGGGGCCATTTTCAAACCGTGCTATTTTGATGTCAATTTAGAAAATCTCTTTACAGATTTCCACAATTCATTGTAAGTCAGAGGCATTTGTAAATCGAATTTGCAAATTTTTGGGCAAAATAGCTGAATTAAGAAAAATTCTGCTATTTTTTTCAGCTCACCTACTTTGCTCTATAAAAAGGTATTTCCCACAATGCTCAGCCAGACTACAGGGTAGCCAAGCATTACGGGAATATGGTTCCAAGGTTAGCGATAACTGTGCTAGATTGTGTGTAGATGTTACATTGTGTTCTTATATTATTTCAAATTAGCTTTCATCTGTCTCACTTCTGTATAAATTGGTTCACTGACAAGTATGGAGAGGGGGTCAGCATTAATGTGTTCAGTGAAGCACTGGGAGGAGATAATAGGCTCACTATCCTTTAACAGACAGGTTCTAGCCGTGTTTCTTCATATGTATTCTTACTTTTCTGTTGCAGCCAGTTCGCAATCACAACCCATGGATGTTACTTTATTTCATCTCCTTCCTCCTCATCGTAAGCTTCTTCGTCCTCAACATGTTTGTTGGCGTGGTAGTCGAGAATTTTCACAAGTGTCGTCAACACCAAGAAGCCGAGGAAGCCCGTCGCCGAGAAGAAAAACGTCTCCGTCGACTGGAAAAAAAGCGCAGGAGTAAGGCGTTCTATATGTCTGGTCGGTAGACTGTTTATAAAGGAATCTTTCTGAGCCTTGCCTGCTGCCAAAGCATAGCAACGTCCTGTTTTAGACAAATGTAGAGAAGTAGATCGATTTTGAGAGGGTAACGGCGCAACAGGTCACTTGGTAAAGCAACATGTTGGCCACAAAAGTGAGGCAACTTAAAAACAAGTGCTGTATTTTTGCCATTTGGGTCATGATATTTTGTGGCATTTCGGAAAACTGTTACAAGATTTTTGTTTATTTAAACAAATAAATATTGTTACATTTTTCACCTGTAAAAAAAAGACATTATCTATGTTAGTTCGTCTATTTGTTTGTCATCGTTTTTCTGTCTGTCTATTTGTCTATATATGTCAATCAATTTATTATACATATTTCATAGGTTTGTACGTGTTTGTGTTTTGTCATTGATTGTGTCTAATCCTATGGAACAATATTGGCAACTAAAAGCCATTTATCTGTCACAATCAGTTTGTTTTTATTTAGGTATATGTTTTATTTGTTTGCTTGTTTTTTATTAAAACATACCAGTCCTGTCATTATAAATCTATCCAAGTGCTTGGTGCAAATGAACATTTTCTTTTGTGTTCTCATGTACAGCATTTGTTGAATGTGCGTTTGTCTTTGTTTAGACTTGTGAATGCTTTCTTTTGTTATATGTCTGGGAGATTTGTAACCACCACAAAATATCTGAGGTAAAATGCAGAAACACAGCAAATTGTGTCATTCTAAACAGTGCGTCACTTGTGCTGTCCGATGGCTGGCCTCCATTGTGTTGCCTTTTTCCTCTCAAACCGCCTGTAGTGCAATTAGAGCCTGTGATGACAACGCATGTCCCTGCATGCAAAGCCTAGGCTGCATGAGGAGCACAGGCCGAGCAGAGAACCGGAATACGCTGAGTCCATACAGGAAAATGGATGAGAATTAAAATATAGAATACATCTGTTTCTTTAGCTAAGATATAATTACAATTAAATAATACAAACGCAAATACTCAAAATTACTGATGGCAAATTTGTCAAGTTGTTTGGCTTGACTTAGGTCAAAGCGAGCAACAATAATATCACCGTGGCAATGCTGTGTACAACTATATTTAGTAGAGGCAGCCATTTTGAAAGTTTGACCTGCATTACTCATTCCCATTTTAGTCCATTTTGTCGGAAACGTGTTCACATTTTGTTTGTGGATCTTGACAAACTGGTAAATGAAAGCTTTTGTTCCTCGGGACGTCTTTGAGGAATGTTTTGAATCGTCCCGTATTTCTCTCTGTAATTTAATCCTACCACGATAGTCTGCTAACATAAAATTGACACAAACTGCTTAAATGTGTTCTCAGGAAAGGGATACAGGATATTGCGGAGGAGTAAGTTAACTGAAACACATATGTTAAGAAATAATTCAGTGTCATGTTTTTTTTTTGTCTTTTTCTTGTTTTATGATTTGCAGAGAATAGAAAATTAAGGAACTTTTTTATTTTTTAATTTACCTTTTGCAAACACCAATGATTCCCACAGTTACCAGACAATGGGGAAACGGTGGTATTCTAGCATGTGTAGTGCAAATTAGTTAATATTTGAAATGCATTAAAGAACACCTGTCAAATATTCTGACAGTGATGTTGCCAATTCATTACTGCTCTTTTATTATGCTGGTTTCACCCCTCCCCCTCAGGCTGATAGAATACAGTCATAAAGTTTGATATGCAAAAGTTGCTGTAGAATGTGGGGCTAATTAGGGATGTAAAAATCTAGGGTACATATCTAATCTTTCTTCCACACTATAATGTCATAGTTTTGTGTGATAACCAAATGTCACAGTTTTGTGTGATAACCAAATGGATTTCCAGTGCAATGTATTCTAGGAAATATTGGGAGATATCTGTAAAAAGCAATTGTTTAGCAAACTGCTAGAATTAGGTATCTGGGACCCATGATTGAGATTTTTATTTTTCGCTTTGGCAGATATTTCCACTTTAAAATCATTGCCAATCGTTCTTTTAAAAAAAAAACAAAAAAAAACCCAACATGTAAGTCCCAAGTGCTAGAAACAGGAAATATCAGTTGATACTTGGAAAACGTAATAAAAAAAAGCTAAACAGTTTTAAATATGATGGCACAGCAGGGAGGCACGTATTAAAGATTAAAGATGGATTGTGTAGTTGCTGTTGGTATTGGATATGTATATATAAACTTTATTTTTATTGTATAGTTGGTTTCCATGTATAGTAACGTTGAAAATAGTCTATAAACTAGACTGTTTCTGTGAGATTGTAGATTGTCTAGGGAAAAGATTTCGTTTACGGAAGGGAAGGTTAAGACGTAATGGGATCGGACCTATGCTTCTGCAGATATATGCCTGGGGAATGCCTAAAAAAGTAGCAATCTGGGTTTATTCCATCTCGCAAACTAGAATATCTACCAATCAAGGCAACTTATCCCTAATATACTGCAAAGGTCCCTGGTCAAATAACTGCTTTAAACTCCTTTAAAGGTCTGATTTTAAGTTACAATTGGACTGGAGTGTCTAAGTAAAACGAGGATTGGAGACTTGATCGTTTCTGTATTGTTCCCTCAACACGTTTCTACATCGGCAGAATATTAATGTTTTATCTGCCCTTTAAAAGTGAATGTTCTGGTTGTCACTATAAATAAACAGGCACTGATACTTCAGCTGATGAGGACTATAAATTGTTTATTCACTCAAAAGAGAGTCATCGCAAGCTGCCAATAAACTTAGAAAACATAAGCAAAAATTACCAATAAATTAAGAAATATGTATCTTGCATACATAATTTGAAATAATATGCTACTAGCCAGGCTTAAGAGACACTTGTCAATGCACAGCTCTTTCTACTATGTGATCTCTGATCAGACAGTGTAGTAGAATATGCAAAGGCTTTTCTGTAACATGACATTTGACATTAAAAGTTAATCATAGTGACGATAAGATACCAACACATACCAACATGATAACCACAAATGATTAACTTTGCTGTGATTAATGGTTATCTTTGCACGTCTAGATATATATTAGAAGGAGGAACTTGCTTGAGATCTCTCGCCCTTATAAATGTGTCAGACTGTCAGGGAGTGTGCGGGCTGTTTGTCTTAGTAGACAAACAGTGTTTTGAACATTCTTTCTACACATAATACAGTAAACGTTAAATCGTGAGTAATGCTCATGGACCCAACTTTCAACCCACGTTCCACCTTCCACATTAGCATCTTAAATGGTATTCATTGGCGGAGAGTGTCATCTGACTTGCTCAACCAATATATTATTTCCAAAGTTGAACCAAATCGACATATTGGCAGATGGGAGACTTCTACTCTAGCGATACCTAAAAGAGGGTCCAGACTACAGGCGCTCAAAGAACCTAGGCTAGTGCCAAGCCATTCACAAATAGTTCGACCCTTAAGAATGGGATGGTGCCACGGAATGCTCCCTTTAAATATATGCGGTTCTTTGCCATTTTTCAGCATGCTTTTTGTGGCAATTCCAGACATAATGATTCCAAAAATCATTATTATGTCTTCACATTTTTTTATTTTTTTTCCCTGTTTTACTTAAGCTTTGATTTGTTTTATAACCTCCTGTCGTTAATTGCCTTTTATAAAATGCCAGGGTCTATTCCTTGACTCTTTGACTGTTAGGAGTGACTCCCTCTGCTTCCGCCTCTGTCCACACAATAGAATTATTTATACAGATCTTATGATCCTCCCATCTTTCCTTCTTCCCTCATTTGCTTTGATTACGCTATATCATTAATCAAGGCTTTAAATGCTCTGCATCATCATAACTCTCTTCTCAGTGTTTAGAACTACTTAAAAAACAACAACATACCACTAAACGTATAACACTAGCTAAAAGTACAACGCTATGTAAACGTATAGAACTAGCTAAATGTATAACACTAGTTAGACGTATAAACTAGCTACGAACTCCAATACATTTACTAAACTTCTTCATAGTCCAAAGTCCGAAGAATCCCAGACAATTTCTTGGTTGATATAGTGATTTGTGGTTACAACGACAGTTGTTCTTTATGTAAATTTGTTCTATTCTTTCTATTCATACTGTCAAGATTTTTTTTTTTTTTTTGCTAGATGGGTTTTTTATAGGCTGTATAAATATATTTCTTAGAATGCTTCACAATGAGCTGGATACTTGGCTATTTAGTAGCAACTATTAGAAGAAAAAAATACATTGCGTGCAGATGCTCTATGTAAACCGAAAAAAACAGATACGAGAAAAACCACAATTGTGCGCTGATAACTAACAAAAACATCGATTTCATTATTCTCATCTTAAATACATTTTAGAACTTCATTGTGCTAATTTGGGACAAGTACAAGCAGCTATCATAACAAGGACGCCAAAAACTAGCTCGTTAACTGTTGCCTAACTATGTATCCCACAAAACGTTACCAGGAAACGTTTCGCACAGAGTTATGAGAAGTATAACCCAACACTTCTATATTATAAAATTGGCAATGGGTAAACAACGAATGTTATGCGGATTAACACGTCCATATTGCTAGGCAAGGATTTACAACGCATGTATCTGTTTTGTGTTAGCGAGACTTTGCCATAGTTTGAACATCAAGACACAGGCAGACATTATTTGGGCAAAAACACATCATGCTGTGTGTCTGCTTGTGTATTATGGCTTTATGTCTAGGGTAACTGTATTCTAAGGTGAATTTTATATTAATTTGCATTTTGCTTAGTGTAGTAGTGTGGAACTTATGTTAAATAAGTGTTAACTTATGTGGAAGACATCATAATGCACCTTAACAATTACACTTACAATTTCACAGTTCATAAAATATAAACTGTGTCTGTCACCTAGCAGGTATTTTGGCAGGCCAGTTAAATATTCATTTAGTAAGAATACTTTGCATGAAGTAGAATTTCCAAAAAATTTTCCCTTGAGGATGTAGCAGCTGTGCTTGGACTAGAGGCTGGCGATTGACATAAGCTGATCAATATGTCCACAAATTAGCTCCTCGCAATATTCGTTTCAAATTGCTTCCCTGTTCTATTGTACGTAAAATGGAACTGAAGCGGAATGAAGTGACAGCTTTTCTAATAGGAAAAAAACAGCATACTCAGTAAAATATCACATAACAATTTGCTGATACAAATGTCCAAAACTCTTGTATTCTTAAATTGAAGTATCCTAGAATTAACTGCTATCTCAGCTTTTTATTGTGTGTTCTGGTGTCGTACCTGCATGTCTTTTAGAGCTACCAGAACCTTTTCTTCCAAGAGAAATCTGAAATTTTCTTTCCCCTAAATAAAGTACCAGCATTCTCAACGTATCATTCCTATCCAAAGTTGGATGTTTAACGTGGAAGTTACCTTTCGCATAAGTCAAATGGCATTGGATATGCCTAGCTGTAGACCAAGGATAGGCAACCTTCGACACTCCAAATGTTAAATACATCTCTCAGAATGCTCTTAAATACAAAGCAACATGGGAGATGTGGTCCACAACATCTTGAGTGCCGACGGTGGCCTTTCCCTGCGTAGACCATTGTTTATTGTCAAACTCCACCACAATGTTTTGATACAAACTGGTTCCCGAAGCCAGAAGACAATGAGATGTAGTAGTTATGCTACTTGGACTCCCGCTCTAAAAGTCTGGGATAATACACATGTTGCTGCGGTTTTGTAGAGCAGTAACATTTGGCTAAGGGTGATGAGACTGGTTCTCTAATAACAGCTGGAATGCCACAGTTTGCCTGACTGTTTTTTGAGCGTTAGTCAGTGATGACAGACTCATCTCTGCTGATTATTGATTGCTATCCATGTGCTCTCTGCGTGAACCCTCAGATCATATTATCTCCTATCCCTTTGTTTATCCTAACTCAGTAATCCAAATCATGTGCTTTTGTGGCTTTTTATGATTTCATTCGCACACAGTTATGTTCCGGGAAGAGTGGATTTGCAGAAGCGGTTTAGGAAAGTCAGTACTGTGAAAGCAATTAATGTGAGATTAGTTTGCTAATTATCAGTCACTTCCTGGTTCCTGCAAACTTTGAGAATTTGCAACAAACAATAGGAATCCAGAGGTGAATATATTCTATCGATCAAATGTCTTCTAAAATTAATTCTATTAATAATGCATTCACAAAGGGGTGGGGGAACTGCAGCCTGCAGGGCCACACTAACCTTAATATTCATTAAAGGGACACTATAGTCATCAAAACAATGTAAGCTTAATGAAGCCATTTTGGTGTATAGATTATGCCCCTGCAGTTTCACTGCTTAATTCTTTGCCATTTAGGAGTTAAATCACTGTTTATGCAGCCCTAGTCACACCTCCCTGCATGTGACCTGCACAGCCTTCCTAAACACTTCCTGTAAAATGTCATCTAATGTTTATTCTTCCTTTTTTGCAAATTCTAAATAATTTAGAATGTCTTATCTCCTGCTCTGTTAATAGCTTGCTAGACCCTACAGGAGCCTCCTGTGTGTGATTAAAGCTCAATTTACAGAGCAGGATATAAAAACATTTAAAGGACGTAATATATGATTGAAATTTAAACCATTTTTTTAGGGCTGCATAAACAGAAACTAAAGTGATGTAACTCCTAAATGGCATAGAATTGAGCAGTGAAACTTCCGAGGCATACTCTATACACAAAAACTGATTCATTAAGCTAAAGTTGTTTTGGTGACTATAGTGTCCCTTTAATGACATTTTACTTTTTAAAGGAATACTCCAGTTTTAGGGGGCTCCCTCTAAGTCTAGTGATGATTTAGTGAAGATCTTCCTGCTAACCCTGTGATTCTCATAGAGAATCATTGCATGCCTCCCAAGTGTCCCTACTTTGGAGTGGCAATCCCTATTTTGGGCCCAAATTTCTCTGTCCCTCTTTTCTATTATAATTTCCCTGTTTACTAAGAGCTCAATATTATTAGTGTGTCAGTAATAATACTCACATTTTAGCTGCATACATTTTTATTAGTACGTCAGCTAGAATTTTTCATAACATCTCCCCCTCCCGCTACATCCCCTTTTACACACATACAATTAAAGTGTCCTTCTTTGTCCAATGAAATGTTGGGAGGTATAGCATTGTGAGACTGGGTCCATGTGCAGTAATTAACTTGTTAGGAAGCATTGAATCCAGAGCTTCTCTGTGAGTGGGTGCTTGGGGCAAATATAGAATGGAACCCAGAGAAATTAAATGGAGCAATTTCTCATGAAAGTGATATATTGGGGATTAGAATGTTCCTTTAAATAAGCCAAGTACATGTATCAATATTTCAGGTCCAAAAAAAGAAAAGAAAAATGTTTTATGCCTATAGTGCTCTCATACCTAAATCAAAATACTAAAACATTTATCAGCTGCTGGATCTGCAGAAAAATAATGATTTTGACAGTAATATGTGCAGATACAGTTGAAGAATATACTTTTTAAAGAGTTATGCACTGAACTTTGAATTCTAGAACAAGTTTGAATTGTAACAAACTGGATTGCAAACTTTAGGAAATATAGCTGATCTGGGAAATTTCTCTAACTTATCTTTAGTTGTAGTCGGGCTATTTTCGGCTAAATTTTGCCATTTGAATTTCAATTTGCTACAATCTGGAGTTTAGTAAATAAACGCCATAATATATTAATTAATGAACTGCAAATTGTCCAGAATTCATAGAGGGATTGTAGATTTGGACCAAAATAGTCATACTGGAAAAATTCTAGAAAAAGATAGATAGATAGATAGATAGATAGATGGACGGACTATAATGGATTAATAGATAGGTAGGTAGGTAGGTAGGTAGATAGATGGACGGGCGGACTATAATGGATGGATAGATAGGTAGGTAGATAGATAGACGGGTGGACTATGATGTATAGATAGGTAGGTATGTATGTAGGTAGGTAGATAGATAGGTAGGTAGACAGATAGATAGGTTTGGTAGACAGGTAGGTAGTTAGGTAGGTAGGTAGACAGATAGATAGGTTTGGAAGACAGGTAGGTAGACAGGTAGGTAGATAGGTAGATAGATAGGTAGATAGGTAGGTAGATAGGTAGGTAGACAGATAGGTAGGTAGACAGATAGAGGGACAGACGGTCAGACAGCCAGACAATAGATAGACGGACTGACTGATTGGCTGACTATGATGGATAGATATCCCAGAATACCCAGCTCAACATTATACTTTAGACTTTTTCCAGCATTCCTGCATGTACCCATAACAATTGAATGCTGTTTCAAACACAGCATTTATTTTTTTTTAAAGCAAAGCATGCATTATGATCCTAAAAGGACCATGAAAAGAAATATGATTTCTTGGAATCTCTGGGCCCACGGAGGACTTCCCAAAGTAGAACTTGAAATAGGCAGGCGATTAGCACATATATATCCATAATTTCCTTATAGAATCAGGCATTTCGACTGCAAAATGGAGGACTAGCATTTTTTACTCTCTAAGAGTTTGTGCAACGTTTAAAGAAGACAACGGACAAGTGATTGATAGATGAATATAGATTTTATGGTAAGAGAGGCAGAGCAATTTTCTCCACGTTAATGGTGCTGTCACAGTGAAGTTGCCTCAAAATATTTTTGGAGGAGAAAAGATCTGCTCCTGTATATTTCAATTGTACGCGTGTTAGATTGTATCCCTCTATATATATATCAGCATTCCAGGTATGTATATACATTTATACCCATTTATGTAAATACGTAGAGCTGGCCTTTGTATAGCGACTATGTCACAAACTAGTCTAGCAAGTGGGAAGGGTGTACTCAGTCAGAGACTGCATCGTCTTTTATATCAATTCATTTTATTCATCCTTTGCTTGAGAAAAATGAACTAAAACACATTGTCTTGAGTTTCAATTCTAGCAGGGGTTAGTCCTAGATGGTAGTAATTGTTAAAGATCTGCCAGTGTGGCACTGTGGTAATACTTTGAGGCTAGCCATGCCAAATAAAATTATTTGAATACAGAAAAGACGATAGCTTTCGATAGGCCTCTGGGCAGCCTAGGTCTCTCTTTACTGCCCCCTCCTGCCACATAGTGTATAACACATTACAAGTTCACATAACCCCATGATGTAGAACAGCTGAGAAAACTGAGAGTGCGGGAATAGAGCACACATCTCTCCTATTAACTGCTTGAACTCAAGGGGCCATAGATCTTCCCATGATAAAGGTTACACATTGGGCTCAGTCTAACACTGGCTCGGTAAATGTCAGCGTTACTACCAACCAGAATTTGTAGGCTGTTACGCTGCTTTTAGAGCAGAAGAGAGAGAAATTATATGAAGCAGGACACAAACATTTTACAGATATTTTAAACCATACACATACATGAAAGGAAGAAACATATAAAGAAACACTAAAGAGTTAGTAATGCAAACCTGTATTACTAATGCTTTAGTATCCCAGTCCCTAGTTATATAGATGTCCTCCATGTGCATCCCATAAAATTAATAAAATAAAGGGTTTTACTTTCCTATTTCCATCTCTGAAGCTCCCCTCGGAGCTGCACCCCTCTCCTCCTTCCTCATTGTCATGGAGCAGGCATGTCCTCCTCCAGCTATGATCCAACCCTGGTCTGCATGCACGGTGAAGGCCGCATGTGCATTGAATCAATGCTTTCCAATGGTGGCTTCCGTATCACGTGATCGAGTTTTGATTGATCAGTGCTACAGAACCGCCTCCAATGTCTGTCAGTGTAACAGCCACTGGAGGTGTGTTTAGCCCTTCGAGGTCATTTTCTGCAAGTGTTTTACTTTGAATGGTTAAATTGAGAGGACCACTGCACCCAGGCCACTTCATTGAGATGATGTGGCTGGGTGACTTTAGTGATCCTTTGAAGGTCAGGCCAATTCAGTTAGGTGTATCATTCATCTGATGATGTCATCCAATCTGTATAGTCTACTCAAGATCTGTATATGTTACTCAAGATCGATCATTTTTGTATATTGGTGACTGGACAAGTTTTGTATCACGGTTTCATTTTATTTAGTTTTATCTTATTCTGATACTGAAATGGGAATATTTTGTGAAATACAGTGAAAGAGGGCTTAATAGAATGATGTCTAACCCGTGGCACTGCTGAAGATTGTGGACTACATTTCCCGTGAGACTCTGCCAACCATTGTAGTCAGTTAGTTTGCAAATATCATCCAAAGCCAAGGTTAACTGTATATGAGTTTATCCAATGAAGCATCATGAGATAAAAGTACTTTTAATATGTGATTCAGTTTGTATTAAGGAAAATGAGAAACTGGGATTTACCAGTAACAAGAATCAGGGTTAGTGTATGGACCTTGCCTGTAGAACTAATATAAAATTCCAGTGCTTCTTAGTGAGACTGAGAGAGGATAGGACAACCTAGAACCTTAGAACTTTAACGTTTTTGTGCAAACTCAGAAAGATGTTTATTGGTGGTGGTGTTGTATGTGCTGTGTGTTTATTAGTGGTGTATGTGTATTACGATCCTGTGAGCATGCAGTCCACATAAACAACAGTGTGATTTGGTATTGCCATATGTTTGTGTCACAGCAGAGGCACTGCGATATGGCGAATGGCTGGGCTTTGTTTCCTGCACTATCGTCACATCAAAATTAACTGTGCCTCCAGGACAAGGGTGACATAACATATACTACTCTAGGATAAGGGTGACATAAGAAATGCACGAAACCAACTGTCCAAAAGTGGCCTTCCACCTCTTGTTGGACTTCATTTCACATTGGCCAGCAATTTGGCAAAATATTATGTAAATGTTATCCCAACAACAGATGCAAATGGAAAAGTTATCCACCCTTTACTATTGAGCTTTCTATTTCCACCCAGTTATTTATGTTCAACGAGCCATTTCATCAACTAACCTGGATTACACATTAAACCAGCTACTTGGCAATAAATTGCCTGTTTATCAAGGTCCACTGAGTGCAAACTGAAAATAAAAACCATTTCTGTAACTCACTAATATTTATATATATATATATGAAAAAAAGAATCAGTCTGGTGCCACCTAAATACTTTTAAGAGTAATTCAAATTGTAAGGTTTAGGGTAATATACCTAGTAGGTTAACTCATTGGTCAATCACATAACAATGATTATTAATGATAATAATAATAATAATGATTAGAATATTTAACATTGTATACTTACAGGTATTTAAGTGGTTCTTGGCGGAGTAACTCAATGTCTTCCCATGTTTGACAAATGGTGGACTTTGATAAATGTTGGATACTAGTCCCAATTAATGAGCACTCAATACCCTCACTTTAGCCATCACGTTAATAGCACTGCTTACTGTTAGCGAGAAACCAGAATTTTATGAGATAAAAACACTTGAATCTTTCTGTTATTTTAATGTTACCTCCTCGGCTGATGCCCCTGCAGAGCATGTTGCCTGTGATAGGTTGTGCTGAGAAAGCTTCTAAACTCTGCACGAGGGATGTTGCATGTTGTAAAAATAAAATGACCGTCTGATTTTGTACTCAGGGTGTCAGGAGGCCAAGGTGGGCATGGTGGGCCGATCTAGTTTGTAGTTATCCCAGACGAGGGAGCCTTGGTGGTTTGGAATTTTAACCAGAATAATCTGACAGTTATTTTGTAAAAGGAACAAGTGCCGATTATTGTTTATATACTGTACATGTATATTGTCAAGCCCCAATACAAGATCAGATGGTCATCTTCTTGCCTTTATTAACCAGTTGTTTTTCATTGCTGTTCTATATCACTGTTAAAATGAGTTTATCATCACAATGGCTTTATTTCCAAGTGCACATTTATAAGCAAAGGCACAGCGTCTAATAAAGCCCACTTTTATTCACTGTAGCTTGCACAATACATCACAGTAACCCTTAATATATATCCCTTCATCAATTACACAATCACACAGCTAACAAGCATAAAAGTTTTTAAAAGAAACCCTGAAATTAAAATTATTACAAGTTTATATCTTACAATTAGTATTAGTAAGTAGTATTATTATGGCCCCTTTATCGTGTAAGGCAGAACAAAAACAAGATGGCGGGAACGGAACCTGAAATTGAGATGGCCTCCCATAATCAGGACATTTGTTGGTGTGGTTTCACAAAAATAGATACAATTTCTTTTTGCCACAGCTGAAAAAAAAGAATTATTAGACCTGCTAAGACAGCTGAAATGGAAGAAGTGTTTAGACTTTTAAATGTCACTTACACCTTAGGTGTCCCCAGTGGCCTGTAGTATTGCATTGTGGGAAATTCCAAGTTCTTGAAATTTTAGTGTGAAAAGCATATTTTGCTATGTTAATGGCAAGCAGAAGCTATTCAGAAAACTGAATTGCAGAGATTCGAGAAATGAATAGTGCTATTAAGACTAAAATAGTGACTAAGAATATGATAATTATTTCAAAATCACTTCTTTTTTTTGCAAAATTTGCAATTTAGTTTTCACAATTCACAAAAAAAATTGGTAACTAGTGGATAAACCCACGAGAACTGAAAGATATGGTATATTTTAGTTTTATAGAAAAAAAAGTCAAGAACTACATAAAAAAACTTTGCATTTATAAGGAACATGGGTAAAAACACATTGCTCATGGCTTATTTTCAAAAATATTTAATAATAGTTAAAGGTTTTACAGTTTTGTCATCTCCAGCCCTTCTAAGTGCATTACTAGATCCTGAAAAGTCATGAAATTCCTCCAAATTTTAGAATATATCCTGCGTTTTGTTATTTTTAAAGGGACACTATAGTGTCAGGAAAACAAATCCGTTTTCCTGACACTATAGTACCCTGAGGGTGCCCCCACCCTCAGGGTTCCCCTCCCGTGGCACCTAATTCCAGCGCAGGGCTTCCTTACCTCTCCTCCCTCGCCGACGTCAGCATCCTCGTCCGACGTCACAGGAGCCGAATGCGCATGCGCACGCATTCAAAGTGTCCGTAGGAAAGCATTTTTCAATGCTTTCCTACGGACGCTCTGCGTGATTGAGGCATAATATTTCTCTGAAACTGCTATGTTTGCATCTGAAAGGTTAAAACCTGAGGGACCTGGCACCCAGACCACTTCATTGAGCTGAAGTGGTCTGGGTGACTATAGTGTCCCTTTAACCATTGGGTTACGCACAGTTTGCTAGTGAAACACATAAAAATTTCTCACAAAGTTTTTCACTAAAGTGTGAATTGGGAAATCAAAGTGATTTTTATGTTTTGGAGCAAAATAGCTGAAACTGATAACATAACTGACTTTTTTTGCCTTTTCGTCAGTTTTCTTTCTAAAAGTTAAATTTCATGTTAAATTCAGGACAATTAACCCTTTGAATAAAAATTTTATAATTTATCTTCCAATTTAATACAACATCATTTTAGCAGTGAATTCTTAATCTTGACTGTCCTTTCTGTTAAAAAAAAAAGACCATTAATATGTTGAAAATAAAATGTATTTTATGCTAACCTGTGTAAGATTAGCATACAGTTATTTAATTGTTTTTACCTGTAAAACACAATGTATTATAAACTTGTCACAAAGTTAAGTGTGTCAAGGAGACACTCTAGGCACAAAAAACATTTAATTTCATCGAATTTCTTATAGTGTCTGGAGTCTCTTGGTACTGTCCGTCCATTCAGTGTTAAACCATTTTCCAGCAGTTTAACGCTAAATAAAAGTCCCTGGATGCCTACAGCCCACCCCCACTGGAAATCTAGCTAAGTCAGAAATTACACACTTCCTTCTTGCCAAACCAATTCATACTACCAATGGGCAATGTGATAGGCTGAACACAGTTAGCTGACACTCAGCCAATCACAGCCACCCATTAATGCTCAGGCTAATTGTTCCTCATTAGCCCAAGCAGCGCAGATCAGGTGGGCATTAAAACTTTAATAATGATTGGAGGGGACTCCAGGCACTATAACCATTTTAATGAGATGAAGCTGTTGCAGTGCTTAAAGTGTCCGTTTAAGAAGTAAAGTAGGAGTTTAGTGTCAGTGTAACAATACCCACACAGTATATTTCTCAGCCCACCCACCTGTCTATCCTAACTAAACTTAGTTCTGCTGAGTGATATTAGCTCCTACTCAGACGTAAATATTTTTCCTTTTTTCTTTAAGATTCTGACTTTTAATTCTTCCATTCATCGTGAAACAATTCTTTTGTCAATAGACTTTGTTCAATGTTATTTTCAGACACATTGACAAGAGCCATTAGTGAAGATACAGTGTATTTCTGAAAACATTGACAAGCCGTTTTATTTCTGATCGCAAAAGACTTTGATTTGTGTTCATCAGCGTCTTTTGCTTTCCCTGCATCAGAACCACTGAATGTCCATGATGTTAAAGTTCAGATATATATTTATGCCCAAGTTGTGCTCAGTTGTTGTGGAGACTTTTTGTCGTATGTTGAATTATGTTTTTTCTTTTTTTTTTGGGAGGGGTCATATTAAGTTAACTGAAGCACCATCTTTGATTTTTGCGTTCTTTTTGCAAACATATGGCCCCAGACAGTATTTCAGCATAAGGTTTACATCTAACTACCCGCATCCAACTTTTTCTCTGATTGTTCATTGAAGAGATATCTTCTGTAAGAAATGGCAGAATCAAACAGAATGGAGAGATTGCACAGAAAAATCCTGGTCACAATTTACTCTGATTTACTGCAGTCGGGACATTGTGAACAGATCTAAATTACGGCTGAAACTAAACTGACCTGCAAGATTGGACAAGATATCTCTACCTGCTGCTGTTTCTTTCGTCTGAGTACATTAATTCAATCACTGCTGGGTACTCCTATGCTGCACCAATCAGTTTTGTTCATTCCCAAAGTAATGAACAACTTAAGTCCATTATTATGTTATCCTATAGCTACAGTTGCAGGGTGCATTCTTTTGCCAAACAATTTCAAGCCTGTTTTTGGAGTATATTCACTAAAAAGAGATTTGTGTAGAACACATCTTCAGCCAAAATAACCACCGTAGGAAATTATTTGGGTTGAGAGAGTTATTTTGGTCTATTGTCTGTAATTGTCTCCATATTCCAAATTTAATGAAACCCCCTATATCAATTTTGATCATTTGAGTCACTTTTATATCAGTGTTGTGGGACATCCTGTCAGTCCTGGAGCACCTCAAAAAACTGAAGCGAGTAGAGGTTGGGGCTGGGGGTTTCCTCAGTATAAACCACCTGTACTTAAGTTTTTTTTATATATATATATATTTAATATAAGGAATTTATCATATAGCCACTAAATATGCTGCTCTCTTATCTGTACAGTGCATAAGATGAGGGCTTCACCAGTATGTGGTCAGAATTTGCAGCAGTAGATAGTGGTCCAGATGACACCAAGCCTCTGTGTCTGCCAGTCTCCATAGAACATCGCACAGTGTTCCGTACATTGCGTGTGTTTGTTGTGTGTAGTCAGTAGTGGCTACAGTAGTATGCTATGCATTGACCATTTGATAACATGTATTTCTATGAATCTTACATTTCCCCACAGAGGCACAGCGGAGACCATATTACGCGGACTACTCACCAGCTCGACGGTACATCCACACACTCTGTACCAGCCACTATCTGGACCTCTTCATCACCTTCATCATTGGCATTAATGTTATCACTATGTCCATGGAACATTACAACCAACCCAAGGTACACATCTGGTAGTTCTCAGTTCGCCCTCTAGTGGACTGAGAGAGGCAGTGCTAAACATACACATTCACATTAAAACAATCTTTCGCCCTTACTGCATTGCAATGTATAAATTAGTATTATTTTTATTGCTTCCAACTTATTTAGCTGTGCTCTATAATGCATAGCAATATTAAAACTTTTTTTTGTAAAATAAATAACCACTGAAGGTTTGTAGTTAATTATGGCATGCATTAGATGACAACGAGTCAAAATAAAATAAATAAATATGATGAGTAAAGATTAGCAGTGGTAAAAGGTAAGTCTTTTTCCACCCTTTATACTGTACAAGATTGAGTTCTACATGGGGGTCTAGCATTTGGCAGCTCCTGCTAGTATTCCTTTAAAAATAAAAAATGTAAAGAACACAAGTCATATACAAATATATAAAGTCGGATCTGTGGCTTTCAAGGTATTTCTTATAATACATTTCTGCTTAGAAGCCTCAGAGCTCTTTATGCTAATTTGTTTATAATCCTTTCATCCCATAATAATTGCCAGAATACACCTCACCTATTCTTCTGGTCTTGAAAATGTTCTATTATGTTTGCAACTCAGGGGAACGGACCCATTTAAAGTGAACATATTAGATGTGTGCTCTCTCTCTTCCACTGAGGGGGCTGATGGTAAGCTTTGCAAAGAAAATTTTGTGACTTTCATCTTGCATCTTGCTTAGGCAGCCTTAGTAAAAAACAAAACACTCCAAGCATCATAACCAGTGCAGCCCGCTGTAGTGGTTATGGTGCCAGGAGTATCCTGGCATCCTCCTGAAGTAAAAAGTCACACCATTCTAGAACTCTTTGACAACTTACCTACGGTCTGTGAGGTGCCCGTTATCTAGACCTGAGCTCCATGCAGGATCTCCTGGGGGTAAGTTGTCAAAGCATTCTTAAATGGTTTAAATACTTACTGTGGGAGAATAGCAAGGCCCGGCATTATAACCACTACAGAGGGCTGAAGTGGTTATGGTGCTTGCAAAATTAATGGGAACTGCAATTCGCAATCTGCCCTAGTGTCATAAAAAGCATTAAATCAAGTAAGTTAAAAACTAGTCTTAAAATATTGCTAAAACTTGTTAGAGATTTTATTTTTTATTTTCTATACATGCAGTATATGGACATTGTCCCATGTTTTATTGATAATAAATGGCTGCTCTCGGCTAACGAATCCCTTTGAAACATTACTTTATATAACAGTTTCTAAGAGGCAAGAGAAAGTGTGTTTTTCAATACATCCTGTTACACGCCATAAATTTAGGCATCATTAAATTACAGCCTTGCGCTTGCTGCATCTACCGATGACAGCAATATTTGTTGGCACTTTCCAATGACAATAGGAAGTAATTTCTGGTGTTCTGTGCAAAGTCCCCATTTCGTACAGCCATGTTTCCGATGTATAATTCTTGCAGATCTCGTCTGTCAGATTACGTAATATGGCTCATTCAGACCCATCTGCTCCTCGGAATATATTGGCTTCTCTCGCTGTTTTTGAAGTATTTGGCCAGACAAGAACAAACAAAAAAAAAAAAGAGAACATAAGACTCCGTTCTGGTGCTATTACAGACATCCTTTTAAAGTGGGGTCGGGGAGTTCAAGGGAGGGTTTCAAACTGAAAAAGTCATATGGGATCGTGTTTATGTGAATCTTAAAAAAATACTTGTATGGTGTGTTCCTTTTTTTTCAGTCCCTGGAGGAAGCTCTGAAATACTGTAACTACCTCTTCACCATCGTCTTCGTGTTTGAAGCTGTTCTTAAACTGGTTGCTTTTGGATTCCGAAGGTTCTTTAAAGACCGGTATGGTGAAATCTGTTTACTTTCAATCGTAGCTTAACCTGAGTTGGTAATCCCTATGTGTACACTGTCTATGACTATGCATTGTATATGGCAATGTTTTCTACGTATACACAATGTACATGTATCAAAACGCTTCATATAAAGAGACGACGTGTACATGGCAATTCACAGCTCTTAAATCTGTGGGGTCTGTGCACTGGTCAGTGAGTTGTAGTCAGTGGACCACCAGTTTGCAAAAAAAAAAAATGTTGAGTCTGCCAATTTTAAGGTTTGTTTTTTTCCAATTCAACTATTCTGACCTAACTTTTCTGTTTTTAATGAAAACTTCCCCATAATTTTAAATTGATCTGATGTCTAGTACTGATGTTTAACAAGCACATTATAATCTTGCATTACTGCTAAAGTAACCATTAAAGCATGGCGTGGGCAAACATTGGCACTCCCGATGCTGTAGACTACATGTCCCCTGATACTTTGTCAGCATTATTGCTGTAAAGCATTATGGGAGATGTAGTCCACATGTGGAATGCTGAAGATTCCCTGCCCCTGCCATAAAGTAACAAAAACTTTAGGGCTAGGTAAATGTATGATAACAAGGTTAGCTAATATTGAAGTTCGGTGGGTCTTATTTCAATTCAAGTAAATAAAGCAATTAATTAATTAATTTGAAGTAATTAACGTAATTTATTAAAAATGTTGTAACAAAATCTGCGCAAACTCACCACTGCATCTTCAAACTTAAGGTGCTCTTTGGTTCAATCATTCATATTTCTGTAAGCCTATTTGAAGCTTGTTTAAGCCCCTATTCATTGCCCTATCGGGGTTTCTGTTAGAACCTCGTTTTGTGCTCCTAGCGATTCCCTTGTGATTTCCTGTGTTTGACCTCGGCTTCGTATTTGACTCCTGATTTCTGGTATCCTGACCCCAGCTTCGTATTTGACTCCTAATTTCTGGTATCCTGACCCCAGCTTCGTATTTGACTCCTGATTTCTGGTATCCTGACCTCGGCTTCGTATTTGACTTGCGATTTCTGGTATCCTGACCTCGGCTTCGTATTTGACTTGCGATTTCTGGTATCCTGACCTAGGCTTCGTATTTGACTACTGATTTCTGGTATCCTGAACTTGGCTTCGTATTTGACTTGTGATTTCTTGTATCCTGACCTGACTTTGTATCGACTCTGAGTATTCCTGTTTTTCTTGTCCTTGCTTTATTTTGACCCTGATTCTTGTTGTTTAGTTACGTTAAAGGACCACTCTAGGCACCCAGACCACTTCAGCTTAATGAAGTGGTCTGGGTGCCAGGTCCCTCTAGGATTAACCCCTTTTTTTTATGAACATAGCAGTTTCAGAGAAACTGCTATGTTTATAAATGGGTTAATCCAGGCTCCAAATGCTCTAGTGGCTGTCTCATTGACAGCCGCTAGAGGCGCTTGCGTGCTTCTCACTGTGAAAATCATTGTAAATGCTTTCCCATGAGACTGAATGCGTGCACAGCTCCTGCCGCACATGCGCATTCAGCCGAAGAGGAGGATCGGAGGCGGAGAGGAGGAGGAGGGGGTCCCTAAGGGGGGGGGGGCACCCTCAGGGCACTATAGTGCCAGGAAGACGAGTATGTTTTCCTGGCACTATAGTGGTCCTTTAAATCCGGTCATTCTAAGGTTCGGTAATATGTCTTCTGGATTCCACCTTTTGTGGTTTTCTCTTTCCTGCGTGTTGGGGTATGACTCCTGTGATAGTTATGCGAGTAATTAAGTAGTGAAAATAGCTCAGGATTATGGGAGTTGCACTTCAGAATATAATTTTAAAGGGTACCTGCTGGGGCAGCGGGGCCTGAATTGCATGGCAGCTAGATGTGTTCTGTGTGAGCTCCCAGCCTGAGCTCAAATTTGAGCTGCTACACTGACTCCCAACATGCTAGTCCGACTTCTAACGTGACTTACCTGCTTCAGGAACCTGCTGAGAAGCTTGGTGTTGTTTTTGGCGGACTTCCCTCTTCACGTTTCCAGGGGTCTTCAGCGCAGCCTGGTTGAATGGACGGGTGGGAGAGGTGGCCGATTTCCTGTTCTCCCGTTCTGCATAAGCCGTGCCCTCAAGGTGATACTCAGTAACTCTGTTCCCCACCCCCCCTTTGGACCGGGGGGGTTATCCCAGTCCCCACTGGCTGGCCCTTCATACTTGCCTGACACTTGGGGCTGCCTGCTGCCTGCAAGAACATCATAGAAAGTGAGACAAAATGGTGTCCATATCCCACGAGTACAAACCTATGCAGCCCAGGCAGGACTGTCCTAGCATGTTGGAGCAGTCCTTGGAGAGGCTGTAGGCAATATTCACCCGCTTCTGGGACACCCTGGAGAAGTGTGCCATGCTCTCTACTCCACAAGGTGGCAACCAGGAGAGCAGCGACTGGGAGGTGAGCAGAACCCCATCTGGCATAGCAAATATACAGCCACCCGTGTTCACCAGAGCTTGCCCACCTAGGCTGATGGCCATCAGGGGTTGTCCCCCAAAACATCGTCCATGCATACAGAAGACAAACCGCCGTAGGCAGCTACACCACACCAAAGTCTCCTGCTTCCCCCTTGGGGGAAAGGACTTGGACTCACAGAGACCCAGAGTCCGTGGTCACAAGATGCCGGCCCAAACGCAGGCCAGGGGCTGTCTCACTCCCTTCGGAAGGACCCCCTCCTGGAATTCATGCCCACATGCCAACTATGCCACTTGCAAGAATCGGCTGATACTGACACCAGAGAAGCAGCCTAGGAGCTATATGGCACTTTACCTAACCTACCAGGTGACTGGTTAAGGCCTGATCACCTCATAGCTGTAACACCTCTCTGTATATGCTGACCTGTTGTTGTTTTTCATTTTATATTTTCTTTCTCTTCTTAACTCACACCTAAGCCGAACAGTTACTGAGCGCAGTTCCAGTGGACTAGCAGGTTCATAATTAGCATGTTAATTCCTACTCATAGCCTTTATCTCCTGTCTATCTAACCTTATGTGTAGCCAGCCTGCTATAAACTTCAGGTCTAGCCAGATTTAAGCATTTATATATTTTTAGAGCTTTATCACAAATGGCTATTCTGTGTTCCCTGATTATTCTGCCCATAGCATGTATCCTAAGTCTAGACATATCCGTTTAACTTATCCGTTATGTTATGTTATTATAAAATTGTGCTGAAATGTCAAAATGCCATACCAATGTCTCTCTCTTGTTGTACTTGCTCTGGCTGTCGTGGCATTGCAAGCTTGCCTGTAATTTAATTGCACAACAAAAAAAACATTTTTTTTAAAAAAAAAGGTACCTGCTGGTGAAAGAACCCAAAAGCTATCTTTGTTTTTCTTCTTTTGTGGAAAAAGAATTGGAGTGTGTAACATCCTCCCTGCAAAGCAACAACAAGCACAGTGTAAAAAATGAATGTAATTAATGTAACGGGTGATCGAGCATCCTAGGTAGATAATTAAAGAACGCTATTATTTAAAACGATACTCAGAAAAATGCAGCAGGTTATAGAAGCTTTTAATGGGTCCTCTGGCATTTCCTCATTTTCTTTAATTCAGAAACATTTTACCGCTGCAGTGAAACATTGCAACAAATGGTAGAAATGAACAGATTAACAGGACACATGGGCCTTGTCAGTGTTTGTGTCTGTTGAAATGCCATGCGGTAGTTGTGCCAAAAGCTGCGATACGTAGCGAATGATAAGGCATGAAGTGAGTGTCATTTAAATGTATCAAGTATATGATTTGAGAGCTTGGCACAGCCGCACAGGGCCAAGTTTTCTTGCCGGTTCTAGACAAGGTCAACACAGCAAGATGGGTCACATGCCGTACCCATCAACTCTCCATGTGGTGTTACATCATCACCATAATCTCCTGCCATCCTCCCCACTGGTCCAGCGTGAGACACGTCCTAATTAGGGTTTCTTTCAGCTTTTGAAAAATCCTGGTGATGCTAATTTGCAGGGCTATCTGATCATATCCAAGGCTTGGACAGGCTGAGGTTACATAGATGGGAAGTTTCCTTAACACTTAAAGTTCTTAGCACATCTTATTATCCGACAGTCCTGGTCGAGTTGTTCTATTTGCATTCCGAGTAATATATTATGCTTAACATCCCATTCTTTCCCGAATCTGTAAAAGAAGAAGAGAGAAAGCACAATCATATGCACTGATGTTTAAGCCACATTTTTATTCATTGCAAAATAGATGTTCAGTTCATTGTTGTGTTTGATTTGCTGAAGGTAATGATTTTTTTTTCTCTTTGTGGTGTGCATTGATTATTGGACAAAGACACAGTACAATTGTGGTTATTTACAGTGTGCAGTTAAGCACGGTATATCTGGCCTTTACAGAAGCCATTACGGAAAAAAAAAAAAAAAAAGTTAGAAAAAAACCTAAACAATTTCCCTGTATAATAGGTTGTTTTTATAGGGATATATTCACAAAGACTCCTTTCTTGAATCGTGATGACCTGAGAACTGAGATGCAACATTTTGGTTAAAATAATAAGTTTTTAGTTAACAAAATCTCCAAATTAGTGATTTGTTTCCAGTTCGACTATTTGTCCTAAAGCCATTTGAGAGTCAGCTGCCAATTCGCTGTTTAGACAAAAATAATCAAGGTTCTTCTCCTTCTTAGCTTACAACAAGAGAGGAGACACTTTACTGCTGTCCAGCTCCCCCCGATAATGCAATATTAGTCTTTGCTGCACGGTCACCAACTGGGGACTTTGCAGAATTTACAAAAATTGCCACTGGGGGTCTGGTGGCCAGGGGGCAGGCAAAGGTGAGTTCTGCTTACCTGTACCTGTCCCTCGTTGGCGCCACCATCTTCTTCCGGTGGGTCCACTGTACGCCAAACTAGAGGCATAATTGGCTTAGGGAACGTTTTTAGTTTGGCTATTTTAACCTTGATCGTGAATTTTACTTTGAATCCACTTTGAATTCTTATTTTATTAATTAGCCCTTTTAATGTAATTCCATTCGTAGATAAAGATGTTTTACACAGAAAGTTCATTGTGATGGGCATGTGACAAGCAACTTATATCTGCAATTTAATGATAATAATGTTTAGGAAGTATTCCCCTGCCTCTGATACTTTCTTAGATTGCCTGTGTGCTTGGAATCTTTTTAAACACTCGAAAACAAAAGTCAGTCTCTTCCCTGCTAATTTATAATGTCCTGCGTTTTTCTGATAGTTGGAACCAGTTGGATTTGGCCATCGTTCTTCTCTCCATCATGGGGATTACATTGGAGGAGATAGAAATCAATGCCTCTCTTCCCATCAACCCAACAATTATACGAATCATGAGGGTGCTGAGGATTGCTCGAGGTGAGTTGCTGCATGTTCATTCATGGTCATGTGGCATGCTGGCGTTTGACTAGTACACAGGGTGGCATAAACATGGTACAAATCATAGTATACTTTGTTGCTTAGAGTTAGCAGACTTTGATCAGTGTTACTGGGAGAGTATGACATTTTTATTTTTTTTCATAAATACCAAATGTCCCAATATTTTGACGAAAGTCCTGACAGCGAAACTGTTGTTTCAAGAATTCCTTACTTATCAAACAATTGCCATTCAGCACCAACACGATGATACAAAGAAATGTAGAGCTAGGTGTTCTATGCAGGGTGTCACATCCTGATCCTGCAGTGCCTTGTGCTTTGCTCAGTGATGTCGTTAGACCCACACCCGTTGGCTTGATGACCAAGGAAACTCAGAAATTAGCAAGCATGTTCTTCTTAGGGTGAACCAGCATACTCCTGGTTTCATTACCCTGATTCCTAACAGAACTGGATTTCCATAATGTTTACAGACTGTCATATAAGAGAGGCACTATGTGATGCCAGATGGCATAGCCTTATGTTGGCACTTGCTTTCATTCATGCACTGCTGCTGCCTTCATGTTGTGCTCAATCCCAAACTCAAGTTGCCTGTACTATGTGAGTCAATGTGGGTTCAGGATTGTAGCTTAATGGTATGACACTCAATAGTTCCTCTTGCTGGACACACAAGGCAGGACACAGAATATATATAAATGATCTGTTATAAGTAGTCTTAAAGGAACAATCCAAGCACCATAATTACTGCAGTGCACTGTGGTTATGGTACTTGGAGTGTTCTGTTAAATTGATCCACCGCTGACTTTAATAGACGCATAGGATAACTCAGGAAATCTAACCTCTATGAACTATAATGCACACTGTGCTTATGATAGGATTTGCAGTGCACAGCTGTAGGAGATCCAGATATGATCTTTCCCATGGACTGACCGTGTTAGTACCAAGGGGGTAATGAGCTCAATGATTTGTATGTTCCGTATCGTTTGACCCGCTGAAATAACACCATTTGTTTTCACAGTTTTGAAGTTGCTGAAGATGGCAACGGGGATGCGAGCTTTGTTGGACACCGTGGTGCAAGCGTTACCCCAGGTAATCCCATACCTTAAGTTATGTTTTGGGTTTATGTGAGAAGATAGCACAGCAGGAGTCAGATTGAGAGGAATCATAACGAATCAATATATTTATTTTAGTGACTAGAAATTTAATATTATGGAAGAGCTTATTACGAACCAGTTATATGCAAACAGACATTTATTACACACCGGTTATATGCAAGCAAGAATTTATTACACACCAGTTATATGCAAACAGGACTTTATTACACACCGGTTATATGCAAACAGGCATTTATTACACACCTGTTATATGCAAACAGGCATTTATTACACACCGGTTATATGTAAACAGGAATTTATTACACACCGCTTATATGCAAGCAAGAATTTATTACACACCAGTTATATGCAAACAGGACTTTATTACACACTGATTATATGCAAACAGGCATTTATTACACACCAGTTATATGCAAGCAGGCATTTATTACACACCAGTTCTATGAAAACAGGAATTTATTACACACCAGTTATATGCAAAGAGGAATTTATTACACACCGGTTATATGTAAACAGGACCTTATTACAAACAAGTACTGTGTAAAATGGACCTTATTGCAAATGGGGACTATTTTAAAAAGACCTTATTACAAACCAGTGTTATGTAAACAGGACCTTATTACAAACTGTACTTTTTAAAGTAGATCTTATTACAAACCAGTGTTATGTAAACGAGACCTTATTACAAACCAGTGTTATGTAAACGGGACCTTATTACAAACTAGTGCTATATAAACAGGACTTTATTACAAACCTGGGCTGTTTAATTAAACACGGCCCTATTACAAACCAGTGGTATGTAAATATGACTTTATTTAAATCAGTGCTGTGTAAACAGGACCTTATTACAAACCAGTACTGTCTAAAGAGGACCTTATTACAAACCAGTGCTGTGTAAACAGGACCTTATTACAAACCAGTGCTGTGTAAACAGGACCTTATTACGAACCGTTGTTATGTAAACAGGACCTTATTACAAACTAGTGCTGTATAAACAGGACTTTATTACAAACCTGTGCTGTTTAATTAAACAGGGCCCTGTTACAAACCAGTGGTATGTAAATATGACTTTATTTAAATCAGTGCTATGTAAACAGGACCTTATTACAAACCAGTGCTGTGTAAAATGGACCTTATTACAAACGTGTGCTGCATAACAGGAACTTATTACAAAACAGTAATGTGACCTTGTTACAAAAGTGGGCTGTTTAATTAAACAAGGCCTTATTACAAATCAGTGTTATGTAAACAGGACCTTACTACAAACCAGTGCTATATAAACAGGACCTTATTACAAACCAGTGCTATATAAACAGGACCTTCTTACAAACCAGTGCTATATAAACAGGACCTTATTACAAATGTGGGCTGTTAAAACAAGTCCTTAATACAAACCTTGTCTTCATAAACAGGATCTCATTACTAATTTAATTTATTGGTGGGAGGGGGTCATTTAATAGTTGTGAGTGTGGGTTTCAAATACTTTGTTATATCTTAGCAATTGGGCTTTCAGTTCACTGCAGGCACTGGAAGATTTCAGAGCAGGAAAAAACTCAAAATATCTCTTTGGGACAGATCACCAATCCCAACAAAGGAATATTCTGAACTATGACAAAATATATTCTGGTCTTATTGCACAAGATCTCGCCGGCTTCGCAAGGATTTCCACAATTATTACAATGTGCCACGTTACCTCAATCCTATTTTTAGATCAGTGAGATGACTTATTCCCATCAAATAGGGGCCTCTTTGTATAAACTGACATTTGTTGGTTCTACGTCCTAAGCCAGATAAAAACTCAATAGGAAGGGGAAAAAAATAAAAAAAATAAAAATGTTACAACCACAGCCAGATCGTCTTTGTATTGAATAAATATACACATTAAAAGATCAAATAGTCATGTATAAACACTTGTTTCTTAACCCATCAGTGACCTGGAGTATATTTCAAATAATCTGTAACATTCTATAATCAGATTATACTGTACGGGAGTGCAAAGAATTAGTAATTTTTTTAGTAGCTGTTAAATAGAAAGAAAACTCACAGGGATTAAAGAGCCACTGGAGGCATCATAACAACTTCACACTGAAGTTGTTATAGTGCCAAGACGTCCAGGGCATAATCTTACCTTAAGGGGTTAAATATTTACAAAACAGTTGAACCCCAACTTTCTAAGGTGGTTACAAAACAGTTGAACCCAAATCGTTCTACCCATCAACTTCTTTTGTTGGTCCAAGGCTTTAATCAGGAAGCCTCAGACTAGGCAATATTCACAGGCATTACTATTTTATACTCCAAAATAAATACTCGTTATTGTTATATATATATATATATAACGACTCTATCGCTGCACCCAAATCTAACACTAGATGACACTAGACAGTGAATTGTAGGTTTGGAATACAAGAGAAAGTAGTGCGTGTTTTAACCTTTGACCATTGGTGGGCAATGTTGGTACTATCTTTACTTGGTTAGCACCAGTAATCTTAAATAAACTCAAAATGGACAGTTAAACAAAATAATGTTATAGACAAGGTAAACGCTTACATCTTCCCAGCAAATTTCAGTTACTGATGTGGGAATCATAGGGCATGTGCTAAAGTTCAAGAACCTTGTTTTCCTCTTTGACATGGTCAATATACTCATTTTAACTTGTGGTTGAGATTGCTCTGTTGGTTCATTCACCAACTACTAGTGCATTTAGTACCCCAGGTTCACACATCCTATTCCTAGTGGGTCATCTCAACATTTTCTTCTGCAAAGGATGACAATACAAGTGCGATTAAATTGAGTAATGATAACATCTACTTCTTAAAACACAAAAACAAGAAAGCAATATTAGTTTATAATTTCCTGCTTAAATTACTTTTTTTTAATTTTTTTATTATTATAATGATTGTTAGTATGAATATCCAATGAATACAAGTGGGTAGACCTTGAAAGTGCATGACAAAAGCAATAAAACAAAGGATGTCTGAATTTGGAAGTTCTATGAAATTCTATGGAATCGTCAGAGCTAATTGAGATTATTCCTGCTTTAATGAAACATTATCAAACAAACATCAGCTATTTTCTTTAAAAGATCAAGTTAAATCTGATGAGAATGTGTGGAGAGGCAACAGGACCGGTCATATGCAGTAGAGTCCACTGTACCAATTTCAGTTGTGCATAGATTCCACCACTCGACAATGAGTGCATTGACTCTACCAACACTCTGTAGCAATTTGTCTCTTTTCAAACCAGCTTTTAGAATTAAAAAAAATAAAATGTGTAAGAGATGTAAAGCTCATGAATGGGAAGATGTGAATACGACATGATTAATACCAATTCACAAAAAAAAAGTAAAAGAAAGAAATGGACGAATGAGACTGTGAAGCAGCAGTTCAGAGACCTGCCTTGTCTCTGGAATCTCTGGATGGACTTGTTGCATCTCAATGAGTTGCTCGCTGTGTGATGAGCTGCAGGAAGCAAGTCGGAGAGCAAGGCTTATGTTCTCCTGTCCTTGGAGCAGGCTGGCACATGTATAGCTTCCTGAGAAATCACTCCTGACAGGTCTCCCTAGGAGCCCTGAATATCGTTTGCTTGACTGACTAAAATGCCATGGTGTGGGCCGATGATGCAGAAATAATTAATCTCGGAAAAATGAGAAACTAGATGTGCTGGAGATGTGCTCCTGGGAAGCCAATGCCCGCCTCCAGCTATGCCCACGCTGTGAAAAACATTATATGTCTACAATTCTCATTGTGGCAGTGTGAACTATACTGCTGAGCACCTGCCAAGCAAAGCGTTGCCCTCCCTTCTGCCACGTCTTGGTGTATTCTTCATTCTATACTTCATTCTAAACTTCGAGTCAAATAGAAATGGGGCCAAAAGTTAAGAAAACTTGCTTTTTACCCGAGTTGAGGAATGTCAAGCGAACAAACCATTATTTTACAAAGTTCTCTTTCCTGAATAAAACACTGCTGCTGGCAGTTTTAGGAGAAGCAGTGTGAGAATTGAACGACTCTCGCCCTTCTAGACTTAACCACCTTCTCTATTAGGTGTGGAATAATTACATCACTACCACAGCTGTTTATATGCTGAGTTTCATGACGGTAGAAGCTTCCCTGTGTCCCAGCTAGCCAGGAGCATTCTAGATTTTAAATATCGAGCGCTTTATACCTTGTAATACAGAATATTGTAAACTGCTTGCAATTTGTTTCTGTATCCTTGTTTAACATTTTAAACAAATGTGCTTGCTAGAACTTTATAAACTTTTTTAAAAAGTCATGAACTTTAGTGATGGGCATAGACCTCTGATGACCATTACATTGAGTTTTTAGTTTATTCTCTACAACAAAATTAGTTCTACTGTTATCTCAAATCTTTTTGTTCTTCATTCTACAGTGAGGGAAAAAGTATTTGATCCTCTGCTGATTTTGGATGTTTGCCCACTGACAAAGAAATGATCAATCTATAATTTTAATGGTAGGTGTATTTTAACAGTGAGAGACAGAATAACAAAAAAATAATAATCCAGAAAAACCCATGTCAAAAAAGTTATACATTGATTTGCATGTCAATTAGTGAAATAAATATTTGATCCCCTATCAATGAGCAAGATTTCTGGCTCCCAGGTGTCTTTTATACAGGTAACGAGCTGAGATTAGGAGCACTTTCTTAAAGGGAGTGCTCCTAATCTCATATTTTTACCTGTATAAAAGACACCTGTCCACAGAAGCAATCAATCAGATTCCAAACTCTCCACCATGGTCAAGACCAAAGAGATGTCCAAAGATGTCAGGGACAAGATTGTAGACTTACACAAAACTGGAATGGGCTACAAGACCATCACCAAGCAGCTTCATGAGAAGGTGACAACAGTTGGTGAAATTATTCGCAAATGGAAGAAACACAAAATAACTGTCAGTCTCCCTCGGTCTGGTTCTCCATGCGAGATCTGACCTCGTGGCGTTTCAATGATCACGAGAATGGTGAGGAATCGACAAGATCTACATGGGAGGATGTTGTTAATGATCTCAAGACAGCTGGGACCATAGTCACCAAGAAAACAATTGGTAACATACTATGCTGTGAATGACTGAAATCCTGCAGCGCCTTCAAGGTCCCTCTGCTCAAGAAAGCACATGTACAGGCCCGTCTGAATTTTGCCAAGGAACATCTGAATGATTTAGAGGAGACCTGGGTGAAATTGTTATGGTCAGATGAGACCAAAATCAAGCTCTTGGCATCAACTCAACTCGCCGTATTTGGAGGAGGAATGCTGTCTATGACCCCAAGAACACCATCTCCACCGTCAAACATAGAGGTGGAAACATTATGCTTTGGGGGTGTTTTTCTGCCAAGGGGACAGGACAACTGTGCCACATCAAAGGGACGATGGACAGGGTTATTTACCATCAAATCTTGGGTGAAAACCTCCCACCCTCAGCCAGGGCATTGAAAATGGGTCATGGGTGGGTATTCCAGCATGACAATGACCCAAAACACACAGCCAAGACAACAAAAGAGTTGCTCAAGAAGAAGCAAATGAAGGTCCTGGAGTGGCCTAGCCAGTCTACAGACCTTAATCCCATAGAAAATTTGTGCAGGGAGCCGAAGGTTCGAGTTGCCAAACATCATCCTCAAAACCTTAATGACTTGGAGAGGATCTGCAAAGAGGAGTGGGACAAAATCCCTCTTGAGATGTGTGCAAACATGGTGGTCAACTACAAGAAACATCTGACCTCTGTGATTGCCACCAAGTACTAAGTCAAATGGGTCAAATACTTATTTCACTCATTGACATGACATGCAAATCAATGTATAACTTTTTTGACATGCGTTTTTCTGGATTTTTTTTTTTAGTTATTCTGTCTCTCACTGTTAAATTACACCTACCATTAAAATTATAGACTGATCATTTCTTTGTCAGTGGTCAAAATCAGCAGGGGATCAAATACTTTTTACCCTCACTGTATATCAAGTGATTTTGTAATTGATGATATTGGCTTTTCCCTTGGCATACTTATTATTGGATGCATGTGTGTGCCATGTCTGATAGAACCAGATGTTATTTACCCTTCAGGGTATAATAGGACATATTATTGCCTTTATGTCAGTGGAAATGACAGCTAATGTTATCCTGTTTTTACATTCATATAATAATATTCTCTTTTTTGGTTTACATACCATTTTGTTGTGCTGCTAATTAAACATACACTGATCAGCGACAACATTAAAACTTACTACCTAATATTTTGAAGGTACCAACTCTGTTGGATCAAGGCATGGACTCTATAAGACCTCTAAACATGTCCTGTGGTATCTGGCACCAAGACATGCTGTAGATCTTTTAAGTCCTACAAGTTCTGAGGTGGAGCATCCATGGATTTGTTGTTCCAGCACATCCATCAGATGCTCCATCAGATTGAGATCTGGGGAATTTGGAGGCCAAGTCAAGATCTTGAACTCTTTGTCATGTTCTTCAAACCATTCCTGAACAATATTTGGAGTTTGCCAGGGTGCTTTATCCTGCTGAAAGGTGCCACCTGATCTAAAAGAAAACACAATTTATTAGACCAGGCAACCTTCTTCTATTGCTTGACAATCCAGTTCTGACAATCACATCACCATTGAAGGAACTCCTGGTGGTGGACAGGAATCACCATGGGCACTCTGACCGGTCTGCGACTACAAAGCCCAATACACAGTAAATTGTGATGCACTGTGTGTTCTGACACCTTTCTATCATGGCTAACAGTAGGGTTGTTTAGCTACTTGAGCTTCAGTAATTCTTCTGTGTGATGGAACCAGATGGGCTACCTACGCTCCACATGTGCATCAATGAGCCTTGGGTGCGCAATGACCCTAATGCGTGTTCACCAGTTGGCCTTCCTTGCACCACTTTTGGTAGGAACTAACCCCTGCATACTGGGAACATCCCACAAGACTTGGCGTTTAGGAAATGCTCTGACCCAGTCGTCTAGTCATCACTATTTGGCCCTTGTCAAAGTCTCTCAGATCTTTTCCCTTACCCATTTTTACTGCTCCCAACAAATGAAATTCAAGAACTGACTGTTCACTTGCTGCCTAATATATCTCACCCCTTGACAGGTGCCATGGTAACAGTATAATCAATGTTATTCACTTCACCTGTCAGTGGTTTTAATGTTGTGGCTGATCAGTGTATGGTTGAAGCAATTTAGTGTCTTGGTGCAGAAATAATTCCAACGTCAATATCAGATAGATGTTTTTACTTTTGGCAGAATTATACTTTTATTTGCTGTAGTAAAAAACGTCCTATAGATTACAGTTTCTGTGTGTGTGAAGTTTGTTACTGATAAGTTTCTCCATCCTCTTCAAATTATTTAATATTCTCTTCTACTCCCCTTGGCAGGTTGGAAACCTTGGCCTTCTCTTCATGCTACTATTTTTCATCTATGCAGCACTGGGAGTGGAATTGTTTGGGAAGCTTGGTGAGTCCTCTGAATGCTTCTGGGATTGAGATATTTGTGTTATGACTGTTAAAAAAGTGCCGACATGAAACCAAATTTAAGAGGTGGTATGTTATAGCCTGGCCGGGGTTTAACTATATCAGGAAATGGTGGCCATCATTCCATTATTGTTTAAAAATTATACAATCGCATCTGCTTATTTTCAAGGGAGTCTAACCTGCAGGATGCTTTGCAGCTGCTCATTGCTCGGGTTTTATTTGAAGAGAGTACGGCAAGAACTCCATATTTCTGGAGTGTGAATTATTTTCAGTTCAAAGTGATTTAAATTTTTTAGACCAAAATAGACCTACTGATATTGTATATGCCTAGGAGAATTTTTCAGTTTCAACTATTTTAGGCAAAATTTTAAATTCACTTTAAATTCACAACAATTTATACTTTAACAAATAGCCCTGTCGGTGTCGAAGAAAGTAAAGTGTAAAGTTTATTTTAAAGACCGGATGAAGAACTAGCTTGTTAATATTATTATATTTGGAATGATCTTACATATCGCACTATGCTGTTAACAGAATAGGGGAAAACCAAAAATGTTGTGATTTGAGTTCCGTTCAGGCACAACAAAATGATTCAAATTAAACATTATTTTTAAATTTGTGTTCATAAGTTGCAGAAATATAGTATTTCCTTGTCCTGAAAGCCAGTGAATATGCTCAGAGTAACTGTGCAGAATGACAAATACCACTTTTTAAACGTACAGCAGGTTTAGCTTTTGTAAATTAAAAATAAAATTTTCTTTAATATTTAAATATCCTGTTTAGGGATGTTAAATGTTTGTATTAGAGGTGGAGCTTACCGGCACACCGGAGCGGCCACAATTCACAGTGGCTCCGACAAACCGAAACAAATCATGGCTCATAAACGCCGAAAACAGACGAAACCGCGGAAACACAGAGCGGGGCCCACTGAGGAGCCCACTGAGGAGCCGGCAGATGCCTTTTTTTCAGGCATGAAACACCGCAAAAGGGGCGCTGCGGCCTACCAAACGGGCACACGACCACGAGACATAGCCGGCGAGCTAGCAGCGTGGCTGGAGACCGGCATCCACAAACAAATCAGCCCAGACTCCTACTCACATCAGGAGATGGGGCCGAGGTCCCAGAAACCAGTGCAGCAAACACCTCAGACACAAAGGGACATCGGCACCATGCTGCAAACTCCAATGTCACGGGCCCAGACCTCCCTCGAGGCCTCACCTATAAGGTCAGTTGAAGTAGCCTCCTCACACAAACCAACACCAGACCAGTGGGATAGGGGCCCCGGCAACTAAACAAGACATTCAAGAGTTGTTAACATGGCTACAGCAAAACCTTCAACTTATGTGGCAGACTGACCTTAAGGGCCTAGCGGCTGAAGTCCAAACACTCACAGCTCGTACTCAGGCCACAGAGGAAGAGGAACAAACCCTACAACGAGAACTAACCGACCTGCGTGACACGGTGCAACAAATACACCTCACACACCTCACTCACCAGGCAAGTCAAACTGCTAGACGACAGAGGGAGAAGAAAGAATGTGAAACTCAGGGGGGTTCTAGAAACAATACCTCTAGACGAACTGCCGCACTTCATACGGCGCCTCGTAGCATCACTATTACCCTCACGACAGGCCAAACATTTTAACTTTGACGGGGTATACCGGATTGCCAAATCACCGAAAGCCCCACAAGAGGCTCTCCGCAACATCATCTTAAGGTGCCAGACACTAGCAGACAAGATAGCCTTAATGGCCGCCATCAAAGGGAAATCGCCATAGGACTTTGAGCAGTGCCGTATTACCTTCTTCCAGGACTTAAGCAGGGCCACACTGTTATGGTGCAAAAGCTTACAACCAATCACTACCTCTCTCCAGACTGCCGGACTAACATACAGATGGGCAACCCCCAGAACACTGTGGGTCACCAAAGATGACAAAACCTACAAGATCTCCGACCCGGAGGAGGGCCCAGCACTGCTCAACATGCTGGGACTCCCCACCAGTGCCAAAGGATTACCCATCTCTAGACCTAGAACCCTGGCTAACACACCACCATCACCTGGCGGAGCAGATGTAGGCCCAGAGACCTGAAAGAGGCCTGCACATGAACACGGCAATGCTGTCACAGATCTCTCATTTGTTGTTTAATGTTTGCTTTGCTCCTTATGTTTAATGTTTAACTCAAAATAACCGACATGACAAAGACAACCTGAGCTCACCCAGATGCGACCAGGCACAAAACCTCCAGTGACACATAACACTATACTGCACACTACCACCCCCCTTCTGCCCAGGGCCCTTAAAGGACAGGGGACAAGCCACTCAGCATACGAGCAGACATAGTACCAAGACTAACCCAGACTACCACCAGATCATGCTCCCCAACCTAGACCCCCAAAAATAGACCTGCACCAACCGGACAATCGTCCACACACAGAGTCATAGACCCTACCTAACTTGAGTATAGACACAGACCCGGGCACCAACCAAAGCAAAGGAGTATCCCTACCTACACCTATAGCAGTAGACAAACAACATACGGTTAGAAGCACTAGAAGGTACAACCCCCACAACTCCACGGAAAGGATACCCTAGGTAGTGCTACACTGCACTCACACCACACTAATCATTTATACAAGCAGACGGACAGACCCTTATAACTGCCTAGCCCACTCAAAATGTGCAAATGACATAACAGCCATACATGTTTATTACATCGCTACCTAAACCAACTAACTGTGATCAAAGTCATGACACAATGCAAATGTTGTAATCACCCTATTTGCACAAAAACAAAATAAAGAATTTATAAAAAAAAAAAAATTTTGTATTAGGTTAAGGGGAGCACAATGTCAGCAAATGGATCTGTATATGGTCATAAGGCCATGTGTAATAAATAAATAGGCAATAAAAATATCTGCCTGCATATACATGTATGTTGTGGACACTACAACGTAGTCCAAGTACAACAGCTTGTACTCTTTGTTACGCAGTGTGTCCAGTATATAGTACACGCTTCTTTTAAAGCCTATAGAGCCACTTTGCAGGCTACTGTTAGTGTTGTCCCATGGCAAGTCTGCCCCCTGGAGGGCATTCTATATTAGATACAGCATTATTCACTAAACTGAATTTTCTGGAATTCAAAGTAAATTTCACGTTTTAGACCAAAATAGTAAATTAGAAAAATTCTGCGATTCTTTATTTCAACTATTTTGGTCTATTTGAAATTCACTTTGAATTCCTGCCATTTTTCTGAATAATTCTGACATTCTCACACTTTCTGTTATCAGCGAAGTGCTGGGGGTCACTGATGTAACACAGCAAAGGAGATCTCTGCCAGAAGGGGTACACATCTCTGCAAACTGTTCTTTTGATATATTGTAGCTGACTTTGTGAGAGATGTTGTGTTATTATTGGCTAACGCAAGCGAGACTTTCCAGCCCTGTTTCTTGAGAAAAGTTTGTTAGGTACGCTGTTCATTGCTCCTTTCAATCAAGCTATTGTTTTCTGTATTCCTGTCCGATCCTACCCTTCACCGTCCTCAATTATTGACTCGGCACAAGAACTAGAATTCTCTACGGAATTCTCCTGCAAACTTACAAGCTCTGGAAAATAAATAGCTCATTAAGGAGCTGGCAGGAGTGATGCCTGTCTGTCCATAATGAAAACTTAATGGACCTGTTTTATTTAATAGGGATTTTTTTCTTCTTTTTTTTAATTTTTTTGGACTGTTTATTGCCTTTCCTAGAATCTTAAAACTATGAAAAGTAAAAATGTACCTGACTCCTGTGAAATCTAATGTATGGCTCTCATTAAACTAAATCACTGAAAGAATCTCTGTCACTTCAGCCTTTGTGGATTGACTCTCACATCAATCTCAGTCCTGTTTGGACTGCGGGAATTGCAGTCCAAACAAGTTACAGTACTTGTATACTTACCTTCATGATGTTGGGGGGGATGCCTGAGCATCATGAGGGTTGTATTTCACAGCACATAGAATGGATTGCTGATCTCAAGAATCTCAATAGTTCCACTTAGATTAGAGATTTCAAACTCTGACCCCCCCCCCCTCCCATCCCCCAAGATGCTGTTGGCCTACAACTCCCAGAATTCTTTAAATACAACAGATGGCCAGAGAATCATGGAAGTTTTAGTTCAGCAATATCTTGGGGGGCAGAGTGAGATGCCTCATTTAGACAAGAACTTTTTCTTCCCCTGCAGTGTGTAATGAAGATAATCTGTGTGAAGGACTCAGCAGGCACGCTACGTTTGAGAATTTCGGGATGGCGTTTCTAACTCTGTTCCGTGTCTCCACGGGTGACAACTGGAACGGCATCATGAAGGTGAGAGACGATAACTTGCTTTATATCCCAGAATGTTCTTCAATATTTTACTACATTGCAGCGCAGGAAATCTTCAGGAACCCATATTACCCTCCTGCTGGGATCTGGCCTACGTGTTTGTTTTTAGACTTCCATCTTTCTCTCTGCATTTTCCACAATGAATTTTTAAGAAATCTGAACCCCACTCCAGCTGTGTTTACGTCTCCTGCACAGGCAGACAAATGTTTGCTCCTCATCTCAATTTCAAGGCTTCCTCAGCTAGGCAGGTTCTCTCCGCTGTGAACACAGAAGCTGGGGAGCATGATAACGTCTGTCTCTAGTTGTGATGTGCGTGTTGAGCATGTTATACTTATTGAGGGGCTCTGAAGACACCAGTAGCCACAAGAACGAAGGTTGACTTCCTGTCTTGATATCATTAGAGCATAGAGATCCATTATTTTCTATTCATGCAATTTTACACCTATTTTATCTGTTGATCCTGTGCAAACATTTTTAAATCTATCCATTTATTTAACAATTCCTTTAAAACTGACACCGTGTGACTCATGTAACCCAAACACGGATATGCTCACATTTCATTGTGTCATCAAACTATCTGAATGCTTAAGTGACCAAAAAAAAAAACCACCACACTCCCAGGGCAATCCAGTGTTAAATCATTTCCTGCCAGGGAAATGTATTGCCCACGACTCTGAATATCTGTGTGATTCATATATTGCTACAAAAACACTGACGGTTGTTATCATATTGTTATGATGAATGTTTATCTAATGCCATACCAGGCAAGAAACAGTGAGTGACAGATTGCCCTCTCCACTCCCCTGGTGAGCTACATGTACCACCATGACTTTTTTAATAATTACGAAAGTTGATTTAATGTTGCTACAATATGGAGCAATAAATGTAAAGGGCATTCTCTATTGTCTATAACATAAGAAGAGCCAGTAAAAACAGATATTCCAAAGTAATTTTTCTGTTTTGCGGTTCCAGCCAATGCATTTAATGACTGAAAAATAACTATTGACATTCAGTTACTGCCGGCATCATAATTATCTAGGGTGTAGATTTCACGATTGTTATATGTATTTATTCGCTTTACACACCAACGGAGAAGTCTAGAACACTCAGAAATACAGAAATACAATGTAGCACAAAAGGATCAGGTCTAGGTCTGTGCCTACATCATATGTTGGGTTTATGAAGACACTTTTTTTTGTTTTAAACTTTTATAAAGTCTACTAAGTGTCAAAAGTACCCAAATGCCTGCAGTCAACTTGTGACTGAATTATTGGTTCTCCCCGAGAGGAAGAATAAAAGAATGTCTTTGGTCACTGGAGTCAGAGACCACAATGGAACAAAGATTTTGAATATGGATTAAGAGGTGTATTAGCTGTGACTTTAATAAGGTATGATAGCAGTGTCGGCACATATTTCGATTTACCTACGGCTAGTATTATCTCCCTTCTCTACAGGATACATATTGACATAGACAAAAGGCTTTTAATTTTTGACAATAGATGATTTTGAGAAAAATAATACTACTCAGTGCTTACTTCTCCTACTAAATATGTCTTTTTTGAGAGTGTTGTATAGACACTGTGTTACGGGAGTGGGCGTGGGTGGATTCACAATTTAATAGTGGTATAAAGCTATAATCCTGTAACCTAGTACAGCCTTATTTTTCCATTCTTCTTTGTTTTCTTGTTCATCCTCTTCCTTCTTCCACCACCATTCTCCACCAGAACATGTAATTTCCTGTTTCTTAGGCTCCTGTATCAGTTGTATTTTGCTGATAGTTGCAATACTCAAATTGAAACAAATTAAAACAATGCATGGTGAAAATTGTAACAAGGTAACAATATTTTATGTCTTTTTTCATTGATTAGGACACACTCCGAGAATGCAACAGTGACGACAAGCATTGCCTCACCTACCTGCCTATCATCTCCCCTGTCTATTTTGTCACCTTTGTCCTGATCGCCCAGTTTGTCCTGGTTAATGTTGTGGTAGCAGTGTTAATGAAGCACTTGGAGGAGAGCAACAAAGAAGCCAAAGAAGATGCAGAGATGGACGCAGAGATCGAAATGGAGATGTCACGGGCACTGACTCCAGCTGCTGGAAGCGGCAGCCCTGTTCCAGACAACAAGGCAATCACCAGGAACATTATCCCCGTGAAGACAGAACACCCAGTCCTGCTGAAACAAGCCAGGGTAAAAAAGATAAGCACTTTAGAAAATGAATTATCCTTCCGTTATGTAATATGATGTCCACATCGAGGGATAGAATGAAGCATAGGTCTAAGCTACAGGATTCATAGCACCACAACCCACAGATCACATCTAAAATAGAACAATCTGGATGTTGCTATCCGAGTTCTAAGTGAGAACACTTAACAGCGAGTCAATGGAAGCTCAACAATGCAGAGATTCCATCTCCTACTAGCCAAATACAGTTTGCCAATATAGGGCTCCTGTAACCCCCTGTTAAATCAACAAAGAGATTATATATCTTCTAGGTAACATCTAAAAATGAATGGATGTTGTTGATCAGTTTTACAATCCATTTCCATTATGTGTTTCAAGATGGTCAATGGTTGGGCAACAAAATTTAGAGCTGTGAGTTTATTGTACTAAAACAAAACTGTCAAACCCCCCTCCCCACCCTTCCCTCCCGGTGTTCTCTCTTTGAGTGCTGCTCGGAATGGGGCAGTGGAGATCATTCATGCTTTGTCGAGCAAAAGCGGAGTGAGTACCACTTATATGGCAGCAATCATGGACAAAACACAGTGAACGTTGACAGTGTTACTTTAGTGGGCATTCCGTATACGATAATCACTTATGTTCCTTACATCGATTACGGAGTATGAAACTTTGTGGACTTACATGCACCTTGGGTCAGACACAGTTTGAAAAATGAGGGTTAGTCTCTCTTGTTTTCCCTGCTTCACTTCCTGCACAGATGCAGGAAAGACCAGAGAGACTGTCGGTTTTCAAACGCTGTCTGAGCCAACGTGCATGTATATGTCTGAAAGATCCTGCCATAGATCCTGCCATCCAAAAGGTAAGGATGGATTTTTCACTCTTTATTTATTTTTTTTATATACACTTAATTTTATATATATATATATATATATATATATATATATATATATATATATATATATAAATGACAGTGTCAAAGGTTGCACTCACGGATTCATTAAAAAGTTACTTTTATTAAATTTTCCTTAAAAATCGACGTTTCAGTCCTATTCAAGGACTTTCATCAGGATTATGTAAACAGTATATAACAAACAATTTGACAATATATAGGATGCAATAAATTACAAATAGACTCACCACAGGTGCTCCGTGCTAAGACCGGCGTTCAAACCGGAAGTGTGCGCATGTGCGGGAAATCTCCGCCCCCCAGCGTGACGTCATGCGTACAGCGCCGTCGTTACCACGGTAACGCTGCTAAATATAAACAGTAAAATATTGCGATCTAAATATATGCTGGGCAAACATACCAAAACAGTGATCTGAATGTAGTGATCTAAACATAAGTGACATATTAATTAAGAACACCAGATACTGGCATAAGACAAGTATAAATGTGGTTGCTCAGATAAACCGGTTGCAAAACATTTTTTTGAATTAAAGCATCCATTGGCTACATTGAAATTTATGGCCATTGACCATATCCCTGTCCCTAGAAGAGGGGGTGATAGGGGGAAAATGCTACTCAATAAAGAAGCTTATTGGATACATGAGCTGGACACTGTGTCTCCAAAAGGATTAAATGAAGCTTTGTCTTTACACTCCTTTTTGTAATTATTTTGGCCTGAATGCCCCTCAATGTTCTTTTAATGTGCGATTTTATATTTATGTTTATTCCACGTTTTCCTACATGCATTTTTTATATGATGATTTTGCTGTCGTCCTCTTATTAGATAATAGATTGTATACAAGCAAGCATCAGTACTTATTTTTAGAAATTTGATCTATATGCTCTGATGCTGGATATAATAGTGACACTAATTAATTAATTTTTTGAAGGTATACATTTTTAGAGTGACGAAGGAGCAAAAGTAGAAAAAAAGTTTTGAATAATTTTTTGGTTGATCAGTTTATTATTATATGCATCTAGTCATTGGGGTTTCTTGAATATTTATACAAACTGTATTGGGTCACAATATATTCACATTAGCACTCTGGCACTTTAAATTTTGCACGTTCATAGCACTTTAAGTGAAGATTTCATTCTGCACTAGCACTTATTATGACCCATTAGCACTTTATTAATATATACAGTCCACATTTATACTTGTCTTATGCCAGTATCTGGTGTTCTTAATTAATATGTCACTTATGTTTAGATCACTACATTCAGATCACTGTTTTGGTATGTTTGCCCAGCATATATTTAGATCGCAATATTTTACTGTTTATATTTAGCCGCGTTACCGTGGTAACGACGGCGCTGTACGCATGACGTCACGCTGGGGGGCGGAGATTTCCCGCACATGCGCACACTTCCGGTTTGAACGCCGTTCTTAGCACGGAGCACCTGTGGTGAGTCTATTTGTAATTTATTGCATCCTATATATTGTCAAATTGTTTGTTATATACTGTTTACATAATCCTGATGAAAGTCCTTGAATAGGACTGAAACGTCGATTTTTAAGGAAAATTTAATAAAAGTTACTTTTTAATGAATCCGTGACACTGTCATTTGCATATTTGGAGCCCTGGGAGTGCACCCGGTCTGGAAATGTGGAGTATGAGTGCAAGGTATAGTGCCTTTTTCTTTATATATATATATATATATATATATAAATTAAAATACTTGACAAAAGATATTATTAAACAATGCTGAGGTGACAGCTGTCCTATAAGCCACTTTGTAGATGCTAATATTTTTTGGAGAAATTTGACTCAATTTATTTCATGAGCAAAAGAACATGAGGCGGCAGAACTACATGTGGCTTAGGGACATGCACACTACTCCCACTGAAAACAGAAGATTAGTCACTTGGTATTTAGACCTTGAGAATTTGTAGCAAACAACCAGAATTATTTATTTATGTTGTTAATGTTTTATCTCCATAATACATTAAATGGGGTGGGTCTACTCCATTGGAAAGTCCTTTTAAACACTGGAGAGCAATTAACATTTCGGTTTAGCCTTGGAGGGCTTTTGGAATGAAGTATTTTAAGTTTAAGTGTTAAGTGCTACATTTTAAAAATGACTTGAAAAACCAAGACATGTAAAAAAAAATTATAAGTCACCGTGGTAAAATGCGAGGTATGGCTGACTTATCTGTGAGGGTTTACATAGTGAGTTGACATTTGACTTAACCTCCTAAAAATAAATTCCTAATATATGCTAAATGGATGTTTGTTTCCTTAATTATGCACTAAAGGGAGCACTGAGCCAGGAGAGTGTGACTTTAGTGATCCCAGAATCAGTGGAGGCATCTGCCTGGGTGAAGGATACAGCACCACCGTCCCCTATCCCCTACAAGCACGGTTTGCGACTACCCCTCCAGCCCAGCGTACATGGGCACGAGGTGATTCCTCCCAATCTGCGTTACTGTGTTGTGTAGCAAATGTGCTTTCTGCATCTTCATTGCTTTCCAGCTTCTGCCTGACTCTGTGCCCCTGCACGTAGGAAGCCTCCTGCCCCAAATGTATGAAACATCTGATTTATGTCAGCTTTCTAAAGAGTTAGTCGCAGTGAGCCAATAACCCGTTATAGGCCAAGATAGCCGAATCGGAAAATGCAGCCAGCGATTTGCAATCATTGTTCGGAAGGAAAATCCTGAAGGACACCTATCAAAAGTATTTCCCTAGAAAGCTATAGTCCTTTAACCTTCTGGGTTTGTTCTGGCCCTTCCACCTATCATTTTTAATTTTATAGCATAAACATTAAAAAATCCCCATGTACTTCCAATGTTTGAAATGTCCATTTTGATACCCGAGCTCTGCAGTAAGGTTCAAATGTGAACAGTTCCCATACCTACCTTTCACCATGTGGGCGCAATTAACCCAGATCCTGATGTATGCAAGTAGAGATTGCTTTTCACAACACTTTGCACCATAGGGGCATTAACGCACATCTGGTACACGCTAGCTGTTTGTTAAATGTGAGTTGGAAAAGGGCTTTTATCAGCACCAATGCTTTGCTAACATTAGTCTGTCTCCAAAATGTTTTGAAGCACACAAAGCACATTACTAGCAGCACTGAACTTTAACGCTATGTATTTTAGAGCAGTTTTATGTAACAGTAAAAGTATCACCAGGAGGTGATATTTAGGTTTGGATATTAGCAAGTTTGCACTGGATGTTATTTAATTGGCTTGTGGATATCGTAATTGCAATTGCTTCCTCCTGCAAGACTCTCTGCTGGTTAAATATGCTACCTATTTTTCCCGTGTAATGCTTTTGTCTGTTCTTGCTCTGCAGGATGGTGATGTCTACTTGAGAGATGGTGCTGGCTCTCAGACCCTACTGGCAGTAAGAAAGGTCTCCGTATCCAGAATGCTGTCATTACCCAATGACAGCTACATGTTTCGTCCTGTCCTGCCAGCCAAAGCTTCGTACCCTCTGCGTGAAGTAGACACTTATGAAGACACTTCTCTAAATGGTAATTGATGATATGACAAAGCTTTGATGTTATCTGATTAAAAACTTAAAGGGATCTATTAATCAAAGAGCGTGTGCAAACAGCTGCGTTAACAAAGATATCTTTTTAAAAATGTCAGGCGTAAATAGAAATGCCTTTTTATACAGATTTCGAGGGGGGTTTATTTTGGTCCTTGGCCGCTTACTTGTTGGTGGAGGAAGGGTAACCACATCCACCAATCAGAATGCAGCAGATGCAAACTGTTGTTACTAAAATTCAGGGGACAGCAGGCAGAACAAATTAGACGATAGGTAGCTAACACCGAAACTGCAGATAGCGTTCCTTGAATCTCCACTAACCATGAATGCCATAAAAATAAAAAGTGAAATTTCAAAGTAAAGCACTGTTTTATTGCTCTGAGTTTAACCCCTTAAGGACCAAACTTCTGGAATAAAAGGGAATCATGACATGTCACACATGTCATGTGTCCTTAAGGGGTTAAAAAAAATCAAAGGAAAGAGGAGTGCATGAAATGATGATTTAAAGACAAATAATAGCAAAATAAAAGGCATGTTTTGGGATCAGTTTTTTTTTCCCATAGGAAGAGTTCAGAGCCTTCGCTGAGAAATGTTGCTTGTTTAAACAAAGCCTTGCATCCTCTGATGTCACAGATTTACTGAATTAAATTTTGCAAAACCAGGAGCTGATATTCTGTGCAATTTGGCAGCTGCTTTCATTTTTTTTATTTTTTTATTTTTTATTATTGGCCTGAATATCAGCTCCTGGACAAACATTCACCCTGGTGGAAAACTGGTTTTGCATAGTTTAAATAGTGTGGTGAATTTTGTACCAGTCTCTTCAGAGCGATATTTAGCAGATAAACCCCTACTCCCAGCACCTTCTTAAAAAAACAAAAATGCTATATTTTTCATATAGTAATCTTCTCCCTTTGTATTTACGTATTCATTGAACTAAAGTTAAAAAAAAAAAACACTTCACAGGATTTGTAGTATTATGTTTACTTATCTCTATATCTAACAAATATGTATTTGTGAAATATAAAAATTAAAATCAAAAGTAGAAATCTGCACCTTTTTATTCTGTGACTCCCTAGTTTAGCTCCCGGTCAATCAGTTATAAACGTTGTCCTTTGCACCTGATAGTCAGCATGGAGAAGGTATACAGAGAGGAGGAGAAATTAAGATGTTTCTCTTTTTCATCCTCATTTGAGTCCTGCTTTGCCGTGTCTGAACTGGATTATAATTCATTTGCTATGCATTTAAATAAAAGGTCAGGTGTATGCTAGTAACAATGTTAAAGGGTTACTCCAACCACCATAACCACTTCAGTGATTTGAAGTGGTGGTGGTAGGAGTAAGTATGAGCAATGTTTTTGCTTGTGTTATTTGTAATTGTGTGCTGGGGGCTAGTTGCTCACCCATCACAACTCTGTTCCGGGTTGGCAATGTCAATTCTGTGAATAAAGTATGTCTGTTGTCAGTGCGGTTCCTCGGTTTGGACCAATCTGCCTCGTTGCCTGACATAATCAGAATTGATGTGACATAATTAGAATTGATGATCTCAGCCAATCACAATGTTTTCCCATGTAGATGCATTGAATCAATGCATATCTATTGGGTAAGTTCAGTATCTCCATGCAGAGCATGGAGACGCTGAACGTCGGTGCTGCACAGTGTGCAGAACTGACACAGGAAGCACCTATAGTGGCCGTCTGAGGAGTGGCAACTAGAGGTATTCCTAGGCTGTAATATAAACACTGCCTTTTCTCTGAAAAGACAGTGTCTACTGTAAAAAGCCTGCAGGGACTCACTATACTCACCATAACAACTACATTAAGCTGTAGTTGTTCTGGTGACTATAGTGTCCCTTTAACTTATCTGGGGAGGTTTTGTTTTTTTCATTAAACCAGTCCATTTAAGTGTTGTGCATAGTGTAAATCACTATTACCCACACATACCCAGTTATATATCTACACCGAGAAAGCCTTCATCAAAATATAAATATGAACACTTTGGCATGTTTGATAGATTACATGAAGCACCCGTGCACAACAAAAGTGGTTCTTAGCAGTGCACCCTTCATGACTTTGCTTTCACCTAGTGTCCTAGTGGAGGAATGGGTGAGTTGTGCCCCAGTCACATAGTACTTTCATCCCTAATCCCACCCAGTACATTCTTTATCACACTGTTCCCTGCTGTTTCGGAGAGGTGTTGCACCTTTGATGCGGTGTTTGGAGCAGTGAACAATCCATGCATAATTCTTCTGTGAAACCCCAGAGATCTATTTGGTGCGACATAAATTAAAGGTTATTCTTAATACTGCTTTATAGTTGTAAATTTCTCCTTCTTTTAGTATTTTATTAAATTGCTTGAGGTAGACCAATCTCTGGCAAGACCTTACAGATTATTGCCACTTTACACAAATTCCAAAGTTGTAAGCAGCAGGATTAATCAGTATATGTCTCTCTCCAAAATGCAGGGTCGGTTACATCAGTCCATTCCCAAGCCAGTGATATCAGTTCTTTGCTAAAATTACCTGTGGAATGTCAACCTTTACCATCCTGCCACCTGGACCCAGAGGACATGCCTAAAATCCCACCTCCAATCTCCACCTCCAGATCTCCAAGTCTTAACAGACTATTACGCAGACAGGTAAATATATATTTTTTTGGCATTTTTTTAATAGGCAGCATAAACCTTTTATAGACTACAAAATAATATTCTCCTTTTTTATTCTGTCATTTTCCAATCTCAAACACACAATTATCAGTCTTTACTTTGAATACAGGGTTTGAAGTGTCTATGCATGTAAGGCTTGACTGTTGTCTTTGGTTCTTGGTTTTTAGGAGGCCATACGGATGGATTCAGTTGATTATCACACTGAAGAATCTAGTGACAGTCTTCAGGCTGATTCTACGGAGAGCTTAAATGTGAGGACTCCATCACTAACTACATTAGTTCCAAATTTGCTTTGCCCCACTCCTCTCTCTCTGCAGGGAACCCCGCAGTCTTCCCCCATACTCTCTTCTCACCACAGAAAGTCAAGTGTCCGCACACGCAAACATGTATACAGCCAACACAGTATTCCCAGCCGGCCTTCAAGCGGCAGCAGCACCAACACCAACCCAGAGGAATCTACATTTGAGTCCTCAGACCTGGCTGATGAAGAGGTCAGCCATATAAACAGCTCAGCAAAGGGCTGGCGAGGACAATCGCATAATAGGAGTCACTCTGTCTCTCCTTTCATCTCCCAACCTTCATCTCCTCCTCTACTAAAGAACTGCAATAGCACAGCCAGCCTGGCAGGAACCGGCAACAAAGACAAAGACTTGAAGAAGTTCTACAGTGTTGATACGCAAGGATTCTTAACAAAGCCCATGTGGGCAGAAGACCAAAGGAGGCATTCCATTGAGATTTGCTCCTCCATTGATGATGGAGACTCCTGCTTTGATCTGTCCATCGAAGATAAACATGACTCTTCTGTTCATATTCAGTCTGACCCAGAGTACATCAATGGAGTTAGGAGGAAAAAAAAGATGAGTCCACCCTGTATTTCTATAGAACCTCCCATGGAGGATGAAGGTGTCACAGCTCCCTGTACCAAAGCATCAGAAAATAGTATGATGTTAAGAAGGAGAACACCATCTTGTGAATCCACTGCATACAGGGACTCTTTAGATCTTAGCGACAACCAAGTTGTTGACCAAACGTCAAAAACTGATAGACGGATCCAGACTCCTTGTCGCAATGAACACTTGATAATACCCAGCTATTCTTTTGATCAGCTGGATACGAACAGCTTTTCGGACCTTTTAACAGACGGTGGATGCTCCACTCCTCCATCAGTTGGCCTTGTGGATTCTAGGCCTGAACCAGCGGCTTTAGATAGTAAACAAAAAGACCATCTCCAAATACAGAGCACCAATCTCGAAAACAGCAACAGAGATTTAATTGGCATTGGTATGGGTTCCTTGAAAAAGCTTGCACTAGTGAACTCTTCTAAAACAACAGAGGATACAATAAATAAACCGTTATAGCCGTTAAGGATTTGAGACATTTTAAATTGACTAGCTTGATGAACCACTGGATAGACGGGTCTTATAATCCCCTTTGGGTGTTAGTGTTTTCAATATGCTGTGGGCTCACGAGGAATAATGAATAAAAAAAGGAAAGATTTGCAGATGGTTTGAATTAAAATTTTCTTCTTTTGTTTGGTTTTATAAACGGAATACGGAGTTAACTTTCCATATAACCTCAATCACATTGATTCGAGTTTTCTTTTTTTTTTTTTTAATGTTTTTTTTATTTCTATTTTTAAGCTGGCACTTTTTATTGTGCAAAGACACAGCATACAGAAGTGCTGAAATATGAAGACTTGTACATTATCTGTATATCAGCATTATAAATAAAATAGAAATAATGTATTTGTGAAAAATAGGTAGTCTGTCTTTGTGATGCAAAGATATCAGGTTTCCTCCTAATTGGGTTACCAAAGATTCTATCTCCTACACAGGACAATCATCAAGAGGGGACAGGCAGTAACCCAGAACGTTTATTTTTGTAATACATGTGCTAATTTACAATAGAACAATAGTAGAGTAGAATCTATGCCCCTATTATGTATTGTGGATGAAATAGCGTAGCCTTTATAACGTTTGGCACTTCAGCGGGGTGACTGTGCTTCATTCAGTATGTGCTTCTTCACTGTTTTTCCACTGTTCATGACCTTACGATAGATAGGTGGTTGTGGTGTCATAGCACATATGCCACCACAAGGTAAAAAATGCATGACATTGGGAGTAAAGGCACAACATTGGGGCGACAATGGTGAGTTATATGGGCATAGAGAGAGACAAAGAATGTGGCAGGTACAGTGGTGTTCTTTAAAGTTATGGAAGACATTTTTTTAGGATGGATGGGTTTAAATGGAGATAGACCAAAAGTCAGGTCGGTATGAGAAAATAAAGTAGAAGGATAAGGAATTAATGCGATAAGACATGGAACATAGGTGGGAGAGAATGAGATACAAGGGGTAAGAAGATCATTATAAGAGACACAGGGGTAGTGGAGTCATAAGAAGAGGGTGGCATGAGAGATCCATTTCACTTTGTCACCATTGTCAATCATTACAGACCCCTAAACTTCTATACAAGCAATATTAACAAACATGGTTGCCATGCACATGAAAAATATGTAAATTAGAGTAATGGCAGGAAGCACGGCCAATATAGGTGGAAGAATCTACCAGCAAGTTCTGGGAACAGTAGGACATCCCAAGAGATAGCTGCGAAGAATCTACCTACATAACCCAAAACTGTTTTTTTCCATTATTTGCTTTATATATCAACAGTAGAGAGGAATAGCTATAAGACAGTGCTCAGTAGGAGAACCAAATGATACTGGTAACAACATTCATTTGAATTTATGGATTTTCTGCCACGTTTGAATTGAAAGCTGATTCAGTCCACAATTTTAGGATCAAGATTTCAGCTTTGTTCCTCTGCTGGTATAGGGAAAAAATATTCTTGTGATTTTATAGCATGTGGATGAATAGACCGAATAGACTCCGGTATTCTATGGAAGTAGAGGTAAAAAGTTTCCGGTAAACTTCAAACTTCAAATGTGAAGATGCTTCCGGTACTCTGTGACAGTAGGTGGAAAAATTCCGGAACTCTGACAGTAGAGGTTAAAAGGTAAACACACACAGAAAGAATGCATTGAGATCTCAGATTACGTAACCCCACATCTGCTTTTCTTACTCACAGATCTTTTAGAGTAAAAACGTTTTTGTTTTTTTACTTGATTTTTTTTTTTTTGGCCTTGTCAAACTTTTTATTTGTTTTGAAAAGCAAATTGCCCTTTAGCTTGAAGATAGCTGAACTATCTCAAATTCCTTGATTACATGTGTGTTTAATCAGGATCCCACATTGTTTCCAAAAATAGATAGCCACAGGAAGATTACAGGATAAAGTATGCAAGAAGAATGTCAAAAACAACTCAACGAAATCTTGTGTTTAGACATTACGTAAGCACTAGCGCCAAACACAATAATCATTGTGCGATGTGAAGCTGTGCAAGCTAAAGGGACGTTGTAAGCACCATAACTACTACAGCGTATTATAGTAGGCTTAGCGCAAGGAGGCTGTGAATGCCATTTCCTCATTTCTGGCAATCAACTGTTTGAGACGTTTTGACAAAAACCAGGACTCATCCCTCCCCAAAAGTTGCAGGGCTCTCTCTGCACTCCATAGTGGTTATGGTGGGTGGAGTTTTCCTTTATGGTGTTTCTACATAACCTAAAATGGTTTTCAAATAATCCACTAAGCATAATCCCAATCTATATATTGTATTAAAAAGTGAATGCAATTTAACAAGTTGTTTTGCTATTTTTATTAATGCATCATTTGCCTTGAAATCCATTATGCTAACACAATGAATGACAGCTAACGTTGGCACTGCAAATACTTGGGATACTTTGTTTCCGTCAATGCCCAACCAGTCTTACGGCATCATGGGAAAAGAAGCTGCAGTGCCAAGGATTGCCATACTTCTCTAGAATTATCTATGGCACATACTGAAATTATGGAACAATTTTATCACATTCTAAACGAGGTATGGATTGAAATAGATTCCTTCAGTAATCTAAACCAGAAAATAAATTGGTGTCACCTCATAAGACTTATGGAATTAGATCATTCTAAGCACAAGAGATAAGGAAAGAATGGAGGAATGTATTATTAGAGTTATTGTAAACCGTGATTTTTTTTAGGTCATTTGAATGCCATAAAGGGACTCTAAGTACGAAACTCACCTCTGACGTCTTGCAGATCAAAACACGAACATTTCTGAAAAACAGCATTGTTTAAATTTTGCAATCTCCACATCTATGGTGACTGTCATTCAGTCTGCAAATAGAGGCTTTGAATTAAAACAGATTTGATCATTGAATCTATTTTAAGTCCGGTGCCAGTATGTACAGTTTGCCAATGCCAGACGCTGGGTGCGTGCCCAGTGCTTCTCTTTTATTCAGTACTTCTAAAAGAGAAACATTGGATTTGAGTACCGTCATGCATGCGCCATATTTTTACGCATTTGAGTGGACAAAAGCCATTAAAGGGACACTATAGTCACCTGAACAACTTCAGCTTAATGAGGTTGTTCAGATGAGAACTATAGCTCCCTGCAGCCTTTCACATGTAAACACTGTATTTTCTGAAAAAATACAGTGTTTACATTGAAAGCTAGGAACACCTCCAGTTGCATTCACTCAGAGTGAACAAGAGGGACTTCAGAGTTGATGGAGGCATAATGTGCTGGCTCTGCCCCTGATCTGCCTCTTTGTCAGTCTCAGCCAATCCTATGGGAGAGCACTGTGATTGGATCAGGCTACCACATGGCAGCAGACTGCTTGTTTTTCTAAGTCTAACAGCATGCAGATTTACAGCTTCAGTCTTGAATACAGTAAGATTTTTACTATATTTATAGAGGCATGAGGGGCCCAGGGGGGCTATATGGTGGTGTTAACACTATAGGGTCATGCATGTTTGTCATACATGTTTGTGTTCCTGACCCTATAGTGATCCTTTAATCTTCAATTAATTTATTTTCTTTTTTTTTGTTTTATTCCCTTAACTGATTAAATAATATCCCTTTCAGGAAAAGCAATAGCTAGACACCTGGTCCTATTTTAAAACTTCAGTCTTCAGTTTAAAACTGATATTAACCGATTTTTCTTTTTAAAGGAAAACACACAGCGTGTTTAAAAACAGAAAAGCAGATTAATGAACACACAGTTGGCCAGGAAAGAGAGCAGTCCCAGTATATTAATTAGTGCAATAGCTTCATTGAGCGCCTTGTTATCTCGTGACAACAGTCTTTTCGTGTCAACAGAGAGGAACCTTGAATTGTAATCCCGATAAGAAATATCTGTGGCTCTCATTAGTCCATATCTGTTGTAAATGTCACTAGCCCAGGCTCCTTTGGGACAGCTTCACAATTTAACAAAAGTTGTTTATTGTTTCTAATCAGCAATTTGTTTGATCCATACACATCGCTGGTAATGATATCCCAGAATATGTAGTATACCTGTAGTTATTTCGTTTTTTTGTTTAGATATTTTTTTTCTTTAGCAATATAAAAACCATCACATTAAAGTAACACATGTGGTTTGTAAGGCAATTGAAAATGTAGAACTGCATGGCTTGACATTGTTTGGGGACCTATTTATGTACAAGAAGGATGAGGAATCTATTAAAGGGACAATTTAGTCACCAGAACAAATGCAGCTTAATGTAATTGTTCTGGTGAGTGTAGTCAGTCCCTGCAGGCTTTTTAATGGAAACACTGCATTTTCAGAGAAATTGACGATCTCAGCCAATCCAGATGCTAGAAGATTCTTGCTACGCTGGAAAAAGGTGAGTAAATCCCCTTTCTAACCAGAGGCAAGTGGGGGCCCGGACCACCTAAATAGTGGTTATAGAACTATTGTTTCAGAAATACACATTTGTGTTCCTGAGTCTATAGTGCCCCTTTAATGTATCTGTTAAATTAATTAAAACATAAAGGGGGGCCAGCACTTCTCAGCATTTTAATATTATATTTATTTAATCCTAAATTTAAAGTGTTCTCCAAACACTATGACTATTTTAGTGTTTTGAATTGGCCATGGTGCTTGGATTCTGTATGTGCAGATTCATTAATAAACGCTGCACATACAGAGTTAAAGGGATTCTCCAGTGCCAGGAAAACATATTAGTTTTCGTGGCACTGCAGGACCCTCTGGTTAAAACCCCTTCTGTGACTTACTGGAGTCCAGCGCTGGATGTCTCTCAGCGCTGGTCAGGCTCTGCCTACGCTCCTCCCCACCTCGGGGGAGACCTACTGCACATGTGCGGCCGTCAGCGGGAGAGACTTAATGCGCATGTGCGGCTATGGTCACGCGCGCGCATTAGACCTCCCCACAGGAAAGCAGTGAATAATGCTTTCAATGCTTTCCTGTGGGGATTTCGGCAACGCTGGATGTCCTCACATTATTGTTGATACATTAGCCCGCCCTTGCTGCCCCCTATCTCTCCCAACCTTTATGGTGTCCTACATGATGCCATGGATATCTTTTTGGCGTTGTATTCTTCTGTTAGCTTCTACAGTAGGAAAAAAAGCAAATGTCTAACTTCCAGAAACCATCACTGTGCCCAAAACACACTGCTATGGGCATATATTGAGCAGTGCCACAGAAAGAATTCCCCTGGACAATCAGGGAGGGGTGGGGGGGAGGCCATGACTTTTCACAGTTGTGAATACACCCTTTTCCAAATTATTATGCAAATTCTATTTAAGTGTCACAAAGATTAAATATTTTGTTTTTCAGTTTAACTCATGGATGGCATTGTGTCTCAGGGCTCTTTTGATCACTGAAAACAATCTCGGACACCTGTGATAATTAGATTGCCAGGTGAGCCCAATTTAAGGAAAAACTACTAAAGGAGGGTGTTCCACATTATTAAGCAGAACACCATTTTCATGCAATATGGGGAAGAAAAAGGATATCTCTGCTGCCGAAAAGAGTGAAATAGTTCAATGCCTTGGACGAGGTATGAAAACATTAGCTATTTCACGAAAACTTAAGCGTGATCATCGCACTATTAAGAGATTTGTGACTGATTCAGAGCACAGACGGGTTCATGCAGATAAAGGCACATTGAGGAAGGTTTCTGCCAGATCCATGCATCGGATCAAGAGTGCAGCTGCTAAAATACCATTACATAGCAGCAAACAGATATTTGAAGCTGTTGGTGCCTCTGGAGTCCCACGGAAATCAAGGTGTAGAGTCCTCCAGAGTCTTGCAACTGTGCATAAACCTTCTATTCGGCCACCACTAACCAATGCTCACAAGCAGAAATGGCTGCATTGGGCAGAAAAATACATGAAGACTAATTTTCAAACAGTCCTGTTCACTGATGAGTGCCGTGCAACCCCAGATGGTCCAGATGGATGGAGTAGTGGATGGTTGGTGGACGGACATCCTGTTCCAACAAGGCTGCGACGTCAGCAAGGGGGTAGTGGAGTCATGTTTTGGGCCGGAATCATGGGAAGAGAGCTGGTCGGCCCCTTTAGGGTCCCCAAAGGTGTAAAGATGACCTCTGCAAAGTATGTGGAGTTTCTGACTGACCACTTTCTTCCCTGGTACAGAAGGAAGAACTATGCTTTCTGTAATAAAATCATCTTAATGCATGACAATGCACCATCTCATGCTGCAAAGAATACCTCTGCATCAATGGCTGTTATGGGGCTAAAAGGAGAGAAAGTCATGGTGTGGCCTCCATCCTCCCCTGACCTTAATCCTATTGAGAACCTTTGGAGCAATTTGGAACAGGGTGTATAGACAAACATAATTAGGAGCCAATTTAGAATAAAAGATCAATTTAAAAAAATATTTTGCAGTTTAAATTTGTATTTTATTTTACAGTACACTGACCTGCATACTGGTTTACTGCTCATTTTGTCTTACTGCCTCTTTAATGCCCCCGAAAGTTTTTCTTTCGATGTTTCAATGGTTTTTAACAAGAACTTTAAAAAAAAAAAAAAAGAAGAAGAAAAAAAAATAATTCCTTCAAACTCGCTATTTTTCCTTAATGACATCCAAACAACATGTTGAATATTTCTGCTCGGTCAGTTACTGTCAGACAAACATATCAGGTTGTGATGCATTTTCATGACATTTATTCAGCAGGGAATTCTGTTGTCCTCTATAAAAGTAGATTCACAGGACATTATTTTCTTTGTAGAGTATCTACGTTCCGTGCAATTCTTTCAAGAGATCCGGCAGTTTACGTAAACATTATTTAATGCTTACAAAGTGTTTGTCTGCTCACCTGTCACTGCTTGTTCATTTCTCTGTGTTCCGTTTCTGAAAATCAAGTCAAGCTGGGCTATTTGCTAAACTGTGAAATATGCATTCACCGGGGAATTCTGCATTTTAGGCCAAAATATTGAAATTGGAAAAAAAAATCTTCAATCCTTATATTTCCACTTCAGTTATTTATTGTAGCCAAAATGTTTCAGTTCCTTCCTACATGTTCGACAATTTCCAATTAGGTAAATAATTCTGCAAATGTGTACGGAGCTTTGATGTTTTAGTTCGAAGAATTTTGTTTTTTCTAAGCAGACTTCTGAATTCAGGGAGTAACGTGACAGACGTTTTGCTGGCTGATGTCACCTGTGACTTTGTCTCTGTAGTTCTCCTGCACCAGA